CCACCTACACACATTTCATTCCCAACCTGAAGCAGTCACATCACCCTCAATGTCATAACTCTGTTCTAGTTGTCTTCGATATTATACCAGGACATTCTTTGATAATAATGATTTCATTTTTTTAGAGCACTTTAAAAAAATAAACATTTCAATTGAGGATACAGACGAAGGCAACTAAGGGGACAAAAACAGACGAGTTGCCGAAGAAGAATTTATAAACTTTGTATAATCAAGTGCCTCTTGATTAAATGGAATAAGAGCACACATCTTTAATCCTAATACAGCTTTTTCTGGTTTTCCTTTTGCTTTTTTCCAAGCAATGTCAAGTTTGAAAAAAATTTACTTTTTCATTGTTAGGAAACTGATTGCTAAAATCTTTTATAGCTTCGAATATGTTTTTAGCCATATTCTGAAATATCTAACGGCTGCATCAGATGGCTAGCATGAGAAAAAAAAACAATGCAAAATAGTTCCATTGTTTCAACAGAACTTGTTGGCGCTGACATTTATATGCATTGAGTGTCCATCTATAAAAACAGTTATGGGAAGTAACATATTCCTTTAAGGTGAGTTTCCACTCATCCGTTTTTCTACGGGAAAGGGAAAGGGAACGGAAAAATAACCACGTGAGCATGCATAATAAAAGTTTTTATTTGTCCGTAAGGAAACTGCGCATGCTCACATGATTATTTTTCCCTTTCCCGTAGAAAAACGAATGAGTGGAAAATCACCTTTACAGATAGAGAGAAATTATTAGTCAACCATGAAAAAAAAACACATGCTTGAAATTCACCCGTTAATGGATCTGCCAAGAACATAGATGGGTTCACATGATCTAAATTATATAGAGGGTGTGCTCCTGGAAATATAACAAGAGTTTTTTGGTAGTTTCCATCTCCGGATACGCATCCAAGAAATTTTATTGTGATTTTGTATCAGGAGCAATGCGATAAACATTTTTTACACCTTTTTAAGGTAATTATTTTTAGCTTTCTTAATGTTCCTGCCAAGTGAAACCCTGCTTCGCCCAAATTAAATACTCTACTAGAGTTTTCTGGTAATATGAGTTCTGATGTGTTTACTTGATGCTCTTCAAGCAAATAATTCAAGCATAAGAGATGTTTGCTGCTTGTGGCCCAAATTTTCCGGTATTTTTATTGCAAGATTCGAATGCCTTTTAAAAAACCTGCCAAATAAAAATTTAAAAAAGATGCTTTAACGAATTAAAAACGCATTAAAAAAATATAAATTGACCATAAGTCAATCAGAATAAAATTTTTTTTGTCATTAAATTACCTGTAGAGTTATTTACCCGTAGATTCAAAACTTGCTTAGCAAATTATTCACAAACTTTCTATTAGCTATGGTATTGAACTTTTCTATATTGTTGATTTGGTTTTCTGCTATAAAATGTTGTTCTTGTCTTAAAGATTTTTTACTATTACTGGTACTTTTTTTTACAAATACCATACCATATTTTTTCTGCTTTAATCAAAAAATATTTTATTCTTACTTTGTATTCTTCTAGTGCATGTTTGTAACCTTAAAGTAAAATAATTAAAACTAATTTATGCTTCATTTGATTTTCTTGATCATAGAAAATTTTATTTATTATTCTTAATAGTATATAAGTACTTAAAGAACACTAACTTATCTTTTCCATGGCAGCGCCCTATCTGCCATTTATTTTATCACTGATTGTCTGAGCTGGTATATTAAATTTTACACTTGCCTTTCACCATGAAAAGCGATTATCTGACATCAGCTACAGCAGCCATAATTAGCTTCTTCGTTGTATTTTTGGTACTTTTCTCTTTTTTTGTAGTTTCAACTGAAAGTAACAACTTTATTGCAAAATGTTTATTATAAAATCATTCAGTTTTTGTTGTTTACATTTAGTTTAAAATATTACATTTGTCAAAAAAAATCAAGTGATTAAGATAACCAGTCATTGTTTTAATATATATATATATATATATATATATATATATATATATATATATATATATATATATATATATATATATATATATATATATATATATATATATATATATATATATATATATATATATATATATATATATATATATATATTATCTTAAAATCATCATTATCAACCTTAAGTTTGTTTTTTAATTTATCTAAAACTACGAAAAGCGCTTAAAACATCATTAATTTCAGATTGCACAAAATTTATTGCTTTCAATAAATCGTGCTGAACATTTTTATATCAAAAAAATATTAATTTGTAATATTTTAAAATTTTCTTTTTACCATTCTAAATATATTTGGTAAAATTGGGTGGTGATTAGTATTTTTTTGAAGAAGTGCCATGCATTATTATTGCACAGTTAAGTTTAAAAGTTTGATATGAAAAGATTCAAGTGTTTTCATTTTATGTTGAAAACCATAGTATAGCGATCTAAAACATCTTTTTTATTATAAATATTTGGACTATTGAAATGATGTTAACAGTAACTGGATGAAAAAAGATTTTATTAATTAAACATAATGCAATACTGGTAAAAAATTACCAAGAATGATTTTTTTGATGCAATGGCTATTTGCACGAAATTTGATGCTGCCCAAAATTCCCCAACTTACTCTACTTGTTTAAAAGGGAAAAAAAAAAGTTAAATTTTTCTTGTAAGAAAAAAATAGATAGTTCATAATTTTTGTTAAATATATTAAATTATGCATTTCAATATATTTAAAATATGGTGAGATTCAAACTATGTACTTTTTTTGAAAAATGCAAAAAAATGTTTTTAAACAATATTTAGGTAGTTCCTGATGTCCACCGTGATGATGATATGGATATACGAAGGTATGTCTGGTTTACAAAAGTACCGGGAGGTTTAAAGAGTGACTGTCATTTAATAAATGGGGTTGTTTTCCCCAAGAATGTTTCTCACAAACGAATGAACACTGTATTTACATCTCCTAAAATTCTTATGATGAGTTGTGCCATTGAATATCAGGTTTTAATTGTTTTTGCTTTTTTGTCTTCATTATTGTTTGATTTTTATTATATTATTCTTTTCTGCAATTTAAGTTTGAATGTTTTTGTTCTCATTATTGTCAATATTACTATAATTATTATTGTTATTATTATTATTATTATTATTATTATCATTATATGATTAAAAAAAAAAAAATGAATAAAGTTTATAACACAAAAGTAAAATTAGTGAACAAAATAAATTTTGAGGAAATTTATTTTGTTCACTAATTTTAAATTCACTAATGATTTAAGTTTTTAAATTACAATTATTAAACAAATTTTAAAATTTATTGTACTATTTCATTGAAATTTATTACAAAATAGTAATAATTATTAGTGTACTGAAAAATAATTACAATACAATAACGTATTGTTGTGCTGTAAAATAAATAACTAAAATACAATAATGTATTGCAATTGTACTGAAAAAGTATATATATATATATATATATATATATATATATATATATATATATATATATATATATATATATATATATATATATATATATATATATATATATATATATATATATATATATATATATATATATATATATATTTTACTTAATTCAGCGAGTTGAAAATAAAATGGTATCTCTTGATCCAATGGTATTGCAGGAACATGCATTTCTACAAAATTTTGTAAGAAGAGTTCTTGATTTAAAACCAAACATTCTCCTTGTGGAAAGAAATGTAGCATGTAAAGCACAAGAAATGCTTCTAAATGGTGGAATAACTTTAGTTCACAATATCAAACCTCATATTATGGAGAACATATCACGGTGTACTGGTGCTGACATTTTGCCGACTATGGAGCAAATAACTAAACCAAGACTTGGAACATGTCAAAGTTTTCGAATAGAAAAATTTATGCTGCCAGTTTGTTATTTGTCTTTTTTTTTCAATTGGTTTAAATTGAACTAAAAAAAATGTTAATAAATATTAATATTATTATATATTTTTTATTTGTAGAAAATTAAGTTGTAATTGTTTTGATGTTATAGAATGGTGAGGCTAAATCTCTTATGTACTTTGAAGGTTGTGCACCTGACCTTGGTTGTTCTTTAGTTTTGAGAGGCGGAAATATTAAAACTCTCATAAAAGTGAAGAAAATTATTCAATACCTTATATATGTGGCATACCATTCCAAACTTGAGATGAAATTTCTTTTAGATGAGTTAGCAATGCCTCCAAGCCTTGATCAACTACTACCAAAATTAAAATCTGCTTCTAGTTTGCAAGACAAAGAAAATACAGAGGATGGCGATGCCATAAATGTTGAAAGTTCTGATTCAGAAGCAAAGAAGTTTCAGAAATGTCTTCAGAGAATTATATTATCAAGTTCACCTTTTCTCACATACACTATGCCTTATCTTTTAACAGAAGAAGGTTCAAAAAGTAGTTGTAGGGACTTTATATCTGATAGAATATACTGGTCGCGATATTTGGATGGATCTATTTACAGGCCAGGTAAACTAAGAGAGGATGACCATGAATGGGTTGAAAATTCTGTTAAAATTTCTTCTGAAGTAAGAATAAAGCCTCCTCATGTTTTCACTGATCCTTCTGTTTTAATTCAATGTATTGATAATGAAAAAAAAAGAGGAAAATTACTAAATGATTATCGCGCTCAGGGTGGATGCATTGATTTAAAGATGTTTCAAGACTACGAAGACCGCGAACGTAGAAAAATTTATGGAATAAAAATGAACTCACAAACTTCAAATAATTTAGAATCTGAGAAAACTGACAAACCAACATGCAATGAAGGGGATAGCAAAGAACTTCATGAAAGCTCACCTGATCCAAAGGTATTAACTATTGTAAATAAATGTAAAATGGACAAGTCAATAAAGTTTTACATTGACAACATAATAACAACTATTTTCTGCAAAATTTTAATAATATGTATGAACTCTTGTGATTCAAACTTTCATAATTTGAATCAAACAAATTCTTCTGTCACTTCAAGGATTAATTCATATAGTAAAATAAGTTTAATAACTTTTATAATTCAAACATATTTTGAGAGCCCTTGAGGGTTTCAATGACACGAGTTCAACTGGATGTTTTATTTAAATTTTTTTATTTAAAACATTAACTATTTTTTAAATTTTTTTTTTAGTTAGATTGTTTTGATGCATACAATCACCAAAAGATAGCTGTATTGTTCAGCAGTTACTCAAGTGATTCAAGTAATGCTCCAAAACCTTGCATAAGTCCTTGGTTAGTTTTTTTTATACTTTTGATTTAACTTTTTCTGTTATAATTTTATGTTGTATATTTACATCAAAATTTTATTTTGTAGTTATACCAAAAACATTAAATTTCATTCTTGTTTTATATTTACATCAGACTTTAAATTTACATGTTTTTAGTTTTTGATGTTGCCATTGATACTGTGATGTTTAAGAAATAGTGAAATTTTAAATATTTTTTGGGCCAAGGGCCTAGGTAAATACATTGACTATCTTATAGCCTGCTACTACATTGACTGAGGGTTTGGCATGGAGGAAAAATATATATATATATATATATATATATATATATATATATATAATATATATATATAATATATATATATATATATATATATATATATACATATATATATATATATATATACACATATTAGGGTACCGGTAATTTTCGGTAAGTTGCGCCCTTTAAATCAATCACAATCATTCTCATATTTGATAGTATCAATATTAATAACTATTAGCAATGTTTAGAGCTTGTAACAAGAAAAAATAGTTTTTTTGACCCACCCTAATATATATATATATATATATATATATATATATATATATATATATATATATATATATATATATATATATATACCTGAAAATAATTTTTTATAAAAATAATTTTTTCAGGTATAAATGCATAAAAACTATTGTTTTTAAGCTGAAAATAAAAAAAGTCAATATTTTCAGGTTTTTTGAGAATAATTTTTTTTAGGCATGTTTTTTATGTAAAATGATTATTATTTTTGAAGTTTTTATATAATATCGCTTCTTTTGAGTACCAGGTTGACATACTTTAGAAAAAGTTTTTTTTTCAAAATATTAGGGACCCGTCAAATTTTTGAGGGCCTTGAGCTACCCCTAAAAATAATTTTTGTTCAAAAAAATTTTAAACCTAGTGTTTTTGTATTAGATAAAACACATTTAGGGGGTACCAGCAGGTTTTTCTCAAAAAAGTTGTTTTAAGCACCACCCTAATATATATATATATACATATATATATATATATATATATATATATATATATATATATATATATATATATATATATATATATATATATATATATATATATATATATATATATATATATATATATATATATATATCAGGCCTTGTGATGAATAAAAACTGGGCGACACATAAGCACGATGTGATTTTTGACGTCATTAAATTCTTTTTATTTGCTTTTCATATTTATCGACATTAACTGCCCAAATTTACTTAATTACCGCAAAACTACTTTAAATCATTAATGTAGAAATGTTATTATTTAAAAATGTTTTGGATTGTTTCGTTTTGTAAAATGTAAAAACATTTGTTTATTTTCTCGACGTTTGACACGTTTTGTCTATACTAAATGAATAAAAAACATTATAACTAAACATTTAAAAAAGATTATAAAGTATGCTAATATTTGATTTTTTTTTCTCAAATATGGAATTTAAAGTTTTTCAAATAATTATTCTTTTTAAAAAGTCAGCGAGTAATAAACTGGAAATTTTAATATTGTACGATTAAAAACTGTGCAATAGCTAATATTTTTACCAGCGATTTTATATAATATTTATTTATTTTTATTTATTTTCATAAATACTAAAAAATATAACATAAAATCTACTTGTACTAGCAGTAGTAGAAAAAAAACTTTTTTTTTTATAAGAAAAAAAATTAATGCACGTTTTATATATGTTCTTATTTAGATATACTTTATATTTTAAGTTTTATGAAATGGCTTATGATTACAGGTTGCAAATTAATTTTTATTTTATTTTTTACGTTTATTGAGCCTTTTTCAGGGTGTTTGTGGAAATTCGCTTTACATCGGTAGAAACTGGGTAACAAAACCAGGTTATATAAACTTATGAAACTATTGACGTTCTATTTTTCAGCAGCTGTTCTTGAGCACGCTACCTTGAGTTTCGGCAACTTTTAACAAAAAAGTGATTTTTATTATTTAAGTAATTTTTTTTGAGTTACTTTTTACAAAAATTTTAATAACTGTACTTTTTTATTGAATCAAGTAGAATACGTTTTAATATTATTCCTTTTATTTTTTTTTATTTGCGCTTACCAATTTTTAAAATATAAACTTTTTTTTAAATCTGAATTTTTTCTACTTTGTAAATAATGATCATATTTAACTTTTTTCTAATTCAAACTTTTATATCAACTGTGTGCGGTTTTTAAAATACTTTATTAAATGTTAAAATAATTGTAAATTACTTCATTAAAATTCTGCTCAAAAATATCTTTAAATATACTCAAACAAAAAATTTTTTGCTCGACGCATATAGCCCTAGCTACACGCAAAATCGCTCTTGGACGACGTAAAATTCACATCGCCTAACGCTTTATCGCAAGGTCTGATATATATATATATATATATATATATATATATATATATATATATATATATATATATATATATATATATATATATACATATATATATAATAGGGTTATGACTGTTTGACTTTTTAAAAAAAAATTCATTTGCTGTGTTATATATCAATGAACTTTTATTAGAAAGCATTGAAAACATATTCAATTCCTCTCGGTTGTAAAAAAAGCTCACCCCGCAATTCAAATTATGTTTCGTCATTTATTTAATCTTGTTACTACTGCTACTAGTACAAATTTAAAACTTGTATAGATTAGATGTGTTTAGAATTTTAGAACATTTTGGAAAATAACAGAATATTTTAGAAGACTTTAGAACATTCTAGCACAATTTAAAATATTCTGGAACAATTAAAACATACTAGAACAATTTGAAATGTCTTGGAACATTCTGAAACAATTTAAAACATTCTGAAATATTCTAGAACATTTTAGACTATATATAGCTGCTCATCTAATTTTATAGTTATCACAGAAGCAACACATGGCGTCGTACAAGCCTAGCGATAGTAGCATTCAAAAGGATATCTGTACCAATAATCTGGTGAAATTTGAAGACTCTCATAAAAGAAGAAGAATAGTCCCTTTGGAAGAATATTCACTGGAAGAAAAGTGTAGAATGCCTCTCCAAAAGCAAAGTATCGGATGCTACCATTTCCTTGGACCAAAAATTAAAGGAAGAAAGGAACAAATAGCGGAAATTTCCAAAGAAGTCACCAAATTGTGGAAGAATAAACTGAATTTTTTTTATGTATCTGATCAAGTTATACAAGCAAAGCTTGATAAAATACTGAAATTTTATGATGAATGTATCAAGCGGGGAAGCTACAAACCTCTTGTTGAAATTTTTGATATTACTTAAGTGGATGGAACATGGTTATCTTCCGAGGACAATCGATTGTGCCATCTCTAAGTGGAAAGCAAAGGAACAGTGGTATACTCTACAGGCCAAGTGGTCAGTAAAGAAACAATCCATCCCCCTAAAAGACAAAAACTTTCTAATGAGTCATCCAACTCATCATCTTACTATCCTGGTTTTAGTGATTCTGACTGTGAGGCTGACGACAGTGAATATGAAAACAATGAAGAAGATGAGACAACTCTTACATCAAGCAGAAAACATAAAAGCAAATTTGCAGTCAACTTGGTGACCTCTACAAAGTATCAACAAAAAAATCTGCTAACATATGCAAGCAATTGGCTCGTGAAGGCATTGACATCCCAACTCCATGTCAATCAGCTATTTACAAATCAACAATCAAAGAGGCAATCAAGCTGAATGAAGAAATAATTGAAAAGTTGTCAATAAAAAGTTGATCCTTTGATGGGAAGCACATCAACAGAATGGATTATCAAGTGGTCTTCTCTAAAAATGAAAGAAGAGAAATCAAATTTGATGTCTTTGGCTTGGTAGAAAGCAGGGCTTTAACTATTGCTTAAGGAATTTCTAAAGTCCTCCATGATTTCATCTATGAAATTCAATACTGATGATTGTTGCAGATACCACCAGTGTTAACATTGAAAAAAAAAATGGTGTTGTTGTAATATTGCAGCGAATGTTCACAGAGAAACGCATAACAAACAACCTGAGTTTATCAGTTGTTAACACCATGTATTAGATCGAATTCTCCGCTTGGTGATGGTTGAAGAACTTGGAAGTAAAACACAATCGCCAAACATCGAATATCCATTTACAAAACCACTTTAATAATTTGGCTGAAATACTCCATTAAAAAAAAAAGGCTTTAGGCTCTTTGAAAAATCACTGGAAGTGGTTTTTCAAAGAGCCTAATACATACTACAGATGCCTATAAGTAATCAATGCGCAGAACACACAATCAAAGTAATAGAGGAAATTTAATCATTATGCATAAATAAAGACAAATTGTACCTTCGATTCCTTCTGTACAACAAGTATTAATGGATTGAAAATTTATTGTATTACATGACTATGACATTCTAAATAGATTTGAATACATAGTAGTACTTATGTCAAAATCGATTTTTCAATGGCGGGGTGAACTTTTTTCAAAAGATATGCAAATAATAGTTTATTTCATGCTTTTTAGGTAAAATTTCATCAAACTACAGTTCAGGAGCATGGAGTTGATAAAAAGACATAACCCTAATATATATATATATATATATATATATATATATATATATATATATATATATATATATATATATATATATATATATATATATATATATTTAATTTTTAAAAAGTTGAGAGAGGGCTGTAACAACAGGCTTGATATTAAGTTTTCATGTTTTTATATTTGATATGCATCTTTCTTAAAACATTTCATTTACAGTAATGTTATTTTTGCTTATTATATAACAGGGCAGTATTTATGGAATTTTATGGACGTAACGACATTACCTTGGGTGGATTTTTAGAGAGATATTGCTTTCGGTGAGAAGTTATGTTGTTATTTATTTGGTAATATTATATTGTTAGTTATTTGTGGACTAAATTTGATACTTATGTTATTGAATTAAATTTTGAGATTTTAAAGAAATTGAAAAAAAAGCTAAAAATTTGAAAAACTATATTTAAAATTGTTTTTTTTTTAAACTACATATCAAATTGAATATTGATCTACCCATGGTGGTTTTAGAAAAATTTAGTTGATTAGCTTCATTCAAAGTTACATCATCAAAGTAAGCCAGACCAAAATTTTTTATCCCCGATGCAAAGTATCTGCTAAGATAGCATCTTTTTTTTATTCTCATATATTTTTTTACACACATCAATCAAAGAGTGTTTATATATATATATATATATATATATATATATATATATATATATATATATATATATATATATATATATATATATATATATATATATATATATATATATATATAAACAACTAAAATATTTGTTTATAATCCCTAAGGATTGATTAATAAACTTTCTTGAAAAATATTATTCTATTGAATTTAATAAATTTTAAATTAATTTTAATATTAAAGACTATTAAAACTGGATTGTGTAATTTATTGTTTTACAGCGACTCTTATGGTCACTGCTCAAATGAGCAGCGATCATAAGAGATCTTTTTCCATCATCTTAGACTAGATTTCTAGACTAGTCATTAGCAAAAATGTATCCTTTTACTTCATTTTAATGCACTAGATTTTTTTTTTTTTCCTTTTACATTAGCGCTTTTTTACTGTTTCCTGTCTTCATATTTAGTTATGTAAAATTTTTATTGTACCAGTCAGTAGAACACCTTTTTAATATTCCTGTCATTCTTGCTTTCTAGCAATATTCTTTGTGTTCTTACTTCCAACTTAAATAGTAGTTGCTTTCAGCTTGTTGGAAGTAATATAGTTTAAAAAAAATTAAAATAATTTGAATTATTTTATGTAGACCATCTTATATGTGTCCATCTCACAATTGTGAAGTTACCATGGTTAATCATGTACGTTACTTTGCACACTGTGATAGCTCATTGTATATACACATGCGAAACTTAGAGGCTCCAATACCTGGTTATGATGGAACAATACTTACCTGGAGTTGGTGTAAAATATGCAAGGAGGTAATATTAATTTTATTAAATATGTATTAATTATTTTATGTTAATTTTTTTTTGTCTTTTTTTACTTCTGCTACAGGTAGACAGGCCCAAAACCACATGATTTTTTCTTCTGTCATATCTTTTGTACAAGACAAATAATTTTTACTTTTTTTTTGCTTTTTTATATGGCAAAAATTCTTCTCAGGGGTTTAGAAGTATTTTGGTATTTTTATTTATTTATTTTTTCAGTAAAAAAACAAAAAAGTTATTCTGAACAAAAAAAAGGATTAAAAAATTGTATACACCTTGAACGTTTAAATTATACTCATATTTCAAATTAATAAAATTTTCCTCACTTTAACATTAGACCTAATCCAAATTCACAGTGAAAGCCAATCATTTTTATTTCAGAGCCTAGAGTAACAAAAAACGCATTTAATAAATTGTATAAACCAAGGGTTGGCAACCTTTTGAGAGGGAAGAGCCTTAAGTTACAATCTACTTTTTCAGTTTTTAAAGATTTTAGTAGTACAAGCATGATGATAATGAATTTATAGAGATTTAATTTTACAACTTTGCATTTTGATTTCTTCAGTATAGCAAAGTGAATTTCTGTTAATATTTTATTTTTAGGCAAATAAATATAATTAACATCAACAAATAATTCAAAATACACTTGCAAATGAAGTCACAAAATCCAGGTTCTAATGCTAAAGCACTTATAAAGAGAAAAGCAACAGAAAAGAACAAGCAACTTGAAGTTATATAAGAGGTCATGCTGCAATTAATATAAGACAATTCCCACTTATTAAAGATCATGAAGCAATAGTCAATGGTCCTAAAAGGCAGTACTGTGTAATTCTCTTAGAAAGAAAAGCTGTCAATTGTTTCATACATTATGAATCAAAATTGGGCAATGCATGGCATAAACAAAGCAGAACCAACAAAACTTGTCCTTGCAGAAAATGCAAACAATGCTTTTACAAAAAACAAGTATTTTTGTTTCTTATATACATTTTTAAAAGATAGTAAAAGACAATATGGTAAGAAAAGATTGGCAATAGTTACAGGAGTTGTAGCTTTGTTAAAAATGCTTTTTTGCTTTGATTTTTTTTTGTTTTTTTTTTGTTTCAAATGTTAGATAAATTATTCTGGATGCGCTTTACAGCAAATAATCCAAGCTTCACACTTAAGCGACAAGGAAATTTACTAATAAATAGAGCTCTCAATTGCACAAAAGAAATGGCATGTTGAATAACTAATCAAATGGCTACACAAGAAGCTGTGGCAAATATTCGATATCTTCTGATAATAATATGCAATCATGGTGTACCTGATCATAATTGGCTATTAGAAATGTATAAAGAGTTTAATGGATATCTTACTGAAAAAAAAATGGCACAGCCAGTAATTTTGATTTCTGATAGGGATTGTTTATAATCTAATTTTGATGTTTTACAATTTTTACGAAACATACCTATGTTCTTAACTCCGCCAGATACCACTTGTGTGACACCGATTTTTCTAACAAAAACCTTTATCATGAGTATCTTGGTATGAAAGAAAACATTTTTACTGATTTCAACCCACTAAATAAAGATGATTTTATGATGATCTTAGGATGTATAATTGGGCTTCAAAACAATCTATAATCAAAGCTGCAAGACTTTTGGAAGAAACTTCCACATCATTGACATGCAACAGGATAAGTTTGCACAAGCTTCTCTATGTGCTGATTCTTTAAAAAGTGTTTCACCCAGTACAACAATCCCTGATAGATACACTATTGAATCTGCTATAAGAAAAAAACATTCAGCTCAGAAAGAAAAATTTGAGCTTTCACAAAAATTAATTCAAAGAGCATTCAACTTAAAGAAATTCTTGGCTTACTGACAGTGCAGAAAGTTAAGCCAAAAATTTATAAAGTTATTGCAAGAGTTATGCAGGTTCACAAATCAATGAAAAAAAAAATGTGTTGCAGTTGGTGCAGGTAATTCAAGTTAATAAAAATCATGAATTAAACGATAAGGAAGAAAGAAGATGGAACCAATAGATAAGGTGTGTGTCAGGCCATAAAACTACTGCAATACTCTTCTTGCTACAATCTACAAAGGCCAATCTGTGGAAAGTTATCTTGTAAAGTGGATGGATATATGTTTTTAGCTGGTGTAGTACCCAACAATTCTCTCAAACATAAAGTTATCTAGCATGAAAATGACAAAGATGCTAGGAGCTAAAAGGATACAAAAAAGTAATCTTATAGTTCTTATATCTATATTACCAACATGTGATATGAACTCCATTGTTCTTAGTCAATTAGATGATCAACCAAATTAAGAATCATTAGTTATGAGGATGTAGAAAATCACTTATAATTCGTCTTTAAGACAAATATAACTACATATAAAAATTGGTTTACAAATAACTAGTCAATCTTTTACTTGGTGATTAATAGTAAATTCCATTTTTAAATTGAGTTTTTGATCCATATCTTGACTTGAATCTTTGCAAAAAATTTTGCAAACTTAAATAAAAATTTCAAGTTTTTAATAAATTATAATGTCACAAAGTTATAAAAATTTTTAATGAAATTTTTTATTAATTTAAGTATAATTTTCATAAAATTAGGCTAATTTAATTTTTTTTAACAGTTTTTTTTCAAAATATATTTTTTTCAAATAATAATCTATTTTACTCCTTGATAGAGCTTAATCTATGAGTTACAGGTACTAATGTAAATATGTGGCTTTTAGGGTCCATGAGGGTCCATTTTTGGGCCTGTCTTCTTGTAGTTTATTTCCAACATGTTTATTATTAATTATACATAACAAATAATAATGTGATATATGGTCAGTGCCATAGCTAGTAATAGTTAGGACAATAACAGTTGTGAAAATTTATTTAGGACTGTTACTAATTATAGTTAAATAATTATTTTTTTTTTTACTAAAAAACTTTAAATGAAATAAGATTTAAAAAATTTAAAATTTAAATTTAACTTCGAAAAAATGTAAAAAATGGTTTCACAACACTTTCTTAAAAAAAAAAAAAAAAACTAAGTTGTGGTAAAGCAAACAAAAGTTTATTATCTAATGTGTGAAATATTTTTAAGAAGTAAATAATAAAGAAGTATATTCTTTTTCAAATAAAAATCTTAAAAGTAAGTAAAATCTTTTTTTTTTTTTTTTCATTATGCTTTTTAACTGTATTTTTGAAATATTTTTCTTTTTTCTTTTATTTTGATTGAATAAAAAAATGGGAAGAGTTAGGGGAGGGGTATTGTGCTGAAGACCCCTGTCCCCTTCTCTTAGTTTATGACTACATATATCCTCAACTAGTCACTAAATAATACTGTATTGAGATTTCAGTCAGAAAAAAATTTTAATGTCTTATGTTGTAAAACTTTGAAAAGTAGTTCCTTCTGAGTGCATAGTTTCATCAAGTATTAGAAAGAAAAAGTCTTTTTCAGTAGACCTAGATAATAATGATGCAAAATTTATTTTCGATGATCTTGGGCAAAAAGAAAAACAACATAAAAGTAAAAATCATATAAATAAAACAACATAAAAGTAAAAATCATATAAGAAAAACAACATAAAAATAAAAATCATATAAGTAAAACAACATAAAAGTAAAAATCATATAAGTAAAACAACATAAAAATAAAAATCATATAAGTAAAACAACATAAAAGAAATTTTTTGCCAAATTCAACGTTTTTAAACTTGAAATCCCTTTGAGCCCTTTGTTACGGCTTAAGGTTATTAGTGGAAATGAGTCAATTGCTTGGGCTATAAAACAGTGTACTGAGTACTATCTATGTTTCGAGTCAAGCTCTTTAACAAATTTAAAATGAATAAAGTAACAAAAACTATAAAACACAAAAAACCACAGTCATCACCAAGTTTGCTAAACCTATCATTCACCAATATTCGTGGTCTTCGAAGTAACTTTTCTTCTGTTGAGTCTTATCTCTTGCAAAGTTCACCAGACCTACTTGCTCTTCGTGAGACTAATTTGAGTTCAGCTGTCTCATCTTGTGATCTTAGTGTTGCTGGTTATCTTCCTTTAATTTGTAAAGACTTCAATAGTCACATGCTTGGCCTAGGCATTTACATTCGTAAGAATTCACCCATTTGTCGGGAAACTAGGTTTGAATCCACAGACTACTCTTTTATGTGCTTTCGTTTAGCAGCACTTCACTCTATCACCTTTCTCTTTGTTCTATATTGCTCTCCTTCATCTCAAGGCTCTTTTTGACGATATTTCTGATCATATTGACCAAGTCCTCTCTCTTTATCCATCAGCAAATACTGTTGTTTTCGGTGACTTTAATGTTCATCACACTGAATGGCTTGGCTCTAGTATCAGTGACTCTGCAGGCATTAAAGCCCACAACTTTTGCCTTTCTCAATCCCTAACTCAAATAGTTAACTTTCCAACTTGGTTTCCAGACAACCCCGACCATTTACCTTCTCTACTCAACTTATGTCTTGTTTCTGATCCTAGTCAGCGCTCAGTTTCTCCACATTCACCCTTAGGTCTCCACATTTATCCTTAGGCTCTCCCTCTTCTCAAGACTGCACTCTTCTTGATGTTGTTTCTGATTATTTTAAGCAGCCGTGGAGCAGTGGTAGCGCACTTGCCTCAGAAACATAAGATCCGTGGTTCAAACCCCACCTCTGGGCAAGTTTTGAGACATCGGTTGGGAAAGAGGCGTGAACTTCCCATTAAATGCTCTTCCGCGGTGCTCTGTGATAAGACCGTAAGAAGTTCTTGGGGCACCTTAATCAACTTAAAAAAAAAAAATTATATTGACCAAGCCCTCATTCTTTATCCATCAGCCAATATTGTTGTTGTCGGTGACTTTAATGTTCATCACACTGAATGGCTTGGCTCTAGTGTCAGTGACTCCACAGGCATTAAAGCCCACAACTTTTGTCTTTCTCAATCCCTTACTCAAATAGTCAACTTTCCAACTCGCTTTCCAGACAACCCGAATCATTTACCTTTTCTACTCGACTTATGTCTTGTTTCTGATCCTAGTCAGTTTCTCCACATTCACCCTTAGGTGCCTCTGATCACAGTTTAATCTCTCTAAAATTTGATCTCATTCTTCTTTATCATCAGAATCCCCCTATTATTGTACATCTTACAACTACCTTAAAGCTGACTGGAACTCTTTCCATGATTTTCTTCGTGATAACCCCTGGGTAGAAATCTTTCGTCTTCCTGTTGATAAATGTGCTTCTTACATAACTTCGTGGGTTCAGGCTGGCATGGAATCCTCTATTCCCTCTCGACGAATCCAGGTCAAGCCTCACTCTTCTCTTTGGTTTTCCTCACATTGTGCTGCTGCAATTGCTAATCAAAACCATTACTTCCATATCTATCAGCAAAACAATTCTCCAGAATAAAGACGTCTGTTTATTACTGCTAGGAACCGTTGTAAAAAGGTTTTGTCTAACGCCAAATCCCGCTATTCTCAGATCATGAAATCTCGTACTTCATCACAAAAATTAGGCTCTCGTGACTTCTGGAGAATCTTTAATAGTATCAATAATAAGGGCAACTCTGTAATTCCACCTCTTTTGTACGGTTTAGACTTTATCACCTCATCTAAAGACAAAGCTGAATTGTTTGCCAATAACTTTTCATCAATATCATCTCTGGATTCCACTAGTTGTGTTCTACCTGATATAGCCGTCAAACAGGTTGATCCACTGCTCGACATCCGTATCACTCCAGCTTGTTATCTGGACAACATACCTGTTATAGTCTTGCAGAAGTGTTCTCTGGAACTGTCGTCTATCCTTTCAAAACTATTTAACAAGTGCTTATCAGAGTCTTGTTTTCCAGCCTGGTGGAAACCAGCATCTGTTAGCATATGTCAGCATCCCTATTTTTAAAAATTCTGAAGAGCGATCCGATTCGTCAAACTATCGTCCTATTAGTCTTCTTCCTGTCATAACCTACTTTCTGATCATCAATATGGATTTCGATCTTCTCGTTCTACTGCTGATTTGCTAACAGTAATAACCGATAGGTTTTATTGCGCATTAGATAAAGGTGGAGAGGTTAAGGCCATCACTCTTGACATTTCTAAGGCGTTTGATAAAGTTTGGCATGCTGGTCTTCTCCATAAGCTTTCTTCTTATGGTGTATCTGGAAACATCTTTAAGATTATCGAATCCTTCCTTTCCAATTGTAGTACAAAAGTTGTCCTCGATGGACAGCACTTTTCTTCTTATTCTGTAACCTCAGGGGTTCCTCAAGGTTCAATCCTTGGCCCTATACTCTTTAATTTACATTAACGATCTTCCTGATATTCTCACATCTAAGGTGGCATTGTTCGCTGATGATACTACTATTTATTCTTTTCACGATAAGAAGCTAACTCCCTCTGATTACTTGCAGGGGGCATCTGAGCTTGAAAAGGATCTCACTTCTGCTACAGCATGGGGCTCACAGTGGCTGGTGAACTTTAATTCAGATAAAGCTCAATTTTTTTCAGCCAATCGTTATCGCAATAATTTAGACCTTCCTATATTTATGAACGGTAATGTACTCGATGAGTCTCCTACCCTTCATCTTCTAGGATTAACTCTTACTTCTGATCTTTCTTGGAAATCTTTTATCAAATTCGTTGCAAAATTAGCATCTGCTAAAGTTGCTTCTCTTTATCGAGCTCGTCACTTTCTTACTCTGGATTCTATTCTCTATCTCTATAAATTTCAAATCCGGCCTTGTATAAAATACTGTTGCCATATCTGGAATGGATCTTCTAATAATGTCCTTTCTCTTTTAGACAAGGTGCAAAAACGCATTGTAAACATAGTCGGACCTACTCTTGCAGCCAACCTTCAACCTCTGTCACATCGTCATAATGTTGCTTCTCTTTCTCTTTTCTACAAATACTATAATGGGCACTGCTCTAAAGAACTAGCGTCTCTTGTGCTATCTACAAAAATTCATTCTTGTGTTACTCGTCATTCAATTAAGCCTCATCCTTTTTCTGTTACTGTTCCCAAGTGCTCCAAAAACAGTTATACGTCTAGTTTTTTTCCTCGAATATCAGTTCTTTGGAATTCGCTTCCTTCATCTTGCTTTCCTGATTCATATAATTTGCAATCTTTAAAGTTGTCTGTCAATCGTTATCTTGCTCTACAATCTTCATCTTTTCTCTTCCAGTAACTTCCACCACTAATTAGTGGTTGCTTGCAGCCTTGTTGGAAGCGAAGATGTTTAAAAAAAAAAAAAAAAACTTAAAAAATAATAAATACTAACTAATAAATGAATGATTATAAAAAGTAGTTGTTTTAAAAAAAAAAGATTTTCGTCACAAACAAAATAAATAAATTGAATAGTTTTATTCGTGACTAAATAATAATTTCTTTAAAATGGGCATTTTTAAATGCAGTTTCAAATAATTAATAATATTTTAATTTAATTAATAAAATTAATAGAGATTGATAAGGTTGATAAAAAAAATGTGAAATAAAATTTAGTCAAGTAAAATATCTCGCTTTTATAAAAGAAAAAAGTTAAAAAAGACTAAATTTAAAAATGTCCATAATTCACTTTACTTTTTAGTGTGTTAAAATTAAAAATCATAATAAATGGAATAATTGCACTCAGTTTGTGCTGCAGTTTCTGGTTTAAATCTTGTTGAACTTGTTTTATTTTAATAAAAATTACAATGCATAGTTGTAAAAATAATAGTTTTTGATTTTATTATAAATTCAAAGTATTATAGCATTAAAAAACTAACATTAAAAAAAAAAAAACACTTTAAAAATTTTTAGAAAAGTGGTTTCTCTTTATTTTTTTTTTGTTTAAACATACTAAAGATACACAAAATGTTTCATATTTTTTATTTTTATATATTTTTTTTAATGTTTCGTATTTTTTCTTAAATAGTTTTTTTTAGGTTACATCTGTAGTTCCATTATCATTGGAATCACAATCTTTATCGTTTGCAAAGTACTTAGAACTACGTTTTTATGGCAACAATTATATAAGAAGAGGTAGTTCTGAATCTTGCTTTCATTCTCTTCACCATGATCACAACCAGTATTTCAGCTATTCTAATATGGTTGCTTCATTTAAGTTAGTTTTTTTTTTTTTTTTTTTTTTTTTTGACTAGTTAGAATAATAGCATTTAAAATATTTTTGAACATTGAAGTTATTTTTTTGATGAGTCAGAAAATTTGAAACATTTAAAAGGTTTATCATTTGTTCAAGTTCTGACCAATGGAAGGTATTCAACAGTTTGAACTTTCTATGTTGCAATGCAACTTTAGGAATTAAACATTCTTATGTGTAAATATTGTTTCATATAATTTGTTTATGAGTTTGAGTTTATTTACTCATTTATCAATGGATACTAAATACAAATTATTAAAATAAAGTAAATAAATATAAATAAGCCAAAAGAATTGTGCTTGTTTGTTATTTTAATTAACAAAATGAGATTTGACTAGAAAAAAAGGTATAATGCTATTCCATTTTAATAATATCTGCTGCAATGTTGCAGCTGGTGGTTTAGGGTAGATGATATTTAAATGTGTTGACTGTCCTTTGTGTAAGCTCGTTCCAACTTTTTGTAATGTGGTTTGAAAAGAGGTTTTCACACACTGCCCAATGACAAAGATGCTAGCAGTAAACTAATTGCAGCTCAAGTTTACAGTTATGTCCTCTAGGATGGGCTAAAAATTTTTTTGATTTTAGCTTCACTAAACCACTAAAAATTTACCTCTAGGGTATCTAAGGAAAATGCAAATAAATCAAATAAAATAAATTCTATATTATATAGCTATTATCTATTTAAGTACAAAAATATATTGGATTGGTAAATAAATAAAATAAATAACCATTTTTAGTTTAAAGATATTTATCTGATTGTTTTAAATTGCAGTTTTTAAAAAGATTCTTTACATTTTGTTACTTTCTATTGATTGCTTTTATAATGCCATTTCTAGAATTAGAGACAACAACTGCCTGTAACAACTGTTTCAGAGGATAGCTGTTACAAGTTTCACTTATCATTCTGCTGTTTGGCATTACAAAATAATTTTTCAATAGTTTCACTCAGTCGCTGTATAACCTGCTTAGAACTTTGACCAAACTCTATACCCAAGACTCTTAACAATAAAGGTTTTGTAAAAAGCATAACTTTTTTCATGTTTATTTCTGAAACCTAGTATAACAACAACTTAGACACAGTAATACCGGGATACCAACTGCAGATAAAGTTTAAATTCTAACACAAAAAAACATTTAGAGAGTTATTGGATATGAAGGTGAATCTTTTTTTTTTTGTACTATTTACCAACCAAACATCGATGATAGTCAAATTTTAAAATGAGTAATAGAGGCATTAAAAACAGCAAGGAACTTGAACTTCTTACCTTGTTTGTTTGCTATATTTACAGCGGGTAGGCAAACTCATGAGTCATTAAGAAAACAACATTTTTTTGATAACAGAACAGATAAAGTATGTGGTTTAAGTAAAAATGATCAAATGAAATGGATCTTTTGATCAAGTGGAAGCGAGAATTAAGAGTCTAGTAGAAGCTAAATCAATGGGCATAAACACATTCATCCAAGTGTATTAAGTAGGTGGGTAAAAGATTTTACACTACCAGTGGCTCTAATATTCAAGAGTTTATTTACAAACAGATTTGTGCCTGAACTGTGGAAGAAATCAAATTTGTCACAGACAATCAGAGAGGATAGAAAACTCAAGGCATGCAATTATAGATCAGTATTGTTAAAATCAGTAATCATAGATAGTTGTGTTTGTGATAGCATCACAAACTTTTCTAAAAGATTTGTAAATAAATCTTAGCGTGGTTCTGCTTAGGGTAAAGTTTGCTTATTAAACCTCCTTGAAGCCTTTGGCGTTGCAGCTAAAGTAAAGATTTAATTGAACAGTATAAGATCACACACAAGGCAACTAGCGCTGTTGACAACTTGTAATCTTTGTGGACATATAGGTGAGCCAAAATTTTTTTTAATTTTGATTCATTATACCGCAGAAAATTTGCTTCTAGGGTATCTAAGGAAAATGCAAAATGCAATATTGAATAAAATAAATTCTAAGCTTTGGAATCAGCTCACCTCTTAAATTTCCTTGAAAAGAGCAAAAAAGTTTGTATGAAAAATGAGATGTGCCCCGCAAAATAAAGAGTTTATTTCCAGAAAGTTATGCTTCGCAACGGTGAGATTTTAATAGCATTGTTTATTTGAATTTCTTCAATATCATCAAGACAACGCTCGACTTTACGTGTTTTTGTCATGTGTCCTAGTCACCTGGTCTGGCACCATCTGATTTCCATATGCTTAGGTCCCTTCAAAATTTGCATAATAGAAAAAAAATTGTTTTTTTGTATGTTTGTATGTATGTATGTATGTATGTATGTATGTATGTATGTATGTATGTATGTATGTATGTATGTATGTGCATACATACATTTACATATTTTTATAATTTTTAATTGTTTTCATTTAGGTATCGTCCTATTGATTTATATGAAGTTATTATACCTCCTCATTCTATTACAATTGGTAAACAGAGAAATATGACTTATTTAATAAATGAAGTGGAGGAAATTACTAGCAAGTAAGATTTCTTTTTTTTTTTTTTTATTTAATTTCCATTGAAAAATTTGACTTTGTTATTAAAATGTTTGTTATAATTTGTTTTAAAATTGTTTTATATTCTATTATAAAACTAATATTTTCCATCCTTATCATAAAAATTTTTTTTTTTTGTAATTTTTTTAAAATTTGTAAAGTTATTGCTAATTTACTATTAAAACAATTTTTAAATTTTTGAATTATTTTTAGAGTAGATTATGTGAATAATGTCATAATGGAACGAATTCTTGATTTAAAGGGTGAAGATTTGATGACTAACAATGCACGAGAATCTAAAATAAATGATTTTATTAGAGATCTAGAAGTAAGTTCATATATAATGTGTGTATAAATATATATATATATATATATATATATATATATATATATATAATATATATATATATATATATATATATATATATATACACACACATATACATATATACATATTTATATATATATCAGGCCGTGTTAAGAAGCGTTTCCCTGTTTGACTTTTACGTATGTATTCACGATTTCACGTACGCGTTTTGCAATTTACGTTATGCAAAAACTTTTTTCAATAAGTTTATTTTAAGCAGTCTTTTAAAACATATTAAGTGGAAAACATTAAACTGTAATTAATTGTTGTAAAAAAACATTTGTGGAATTTTTTTTTTTTTTTTTAGATAAAAAAACAGATAGATATCCTTTTTTCTATTTTCCATTTTTTAAAAAAAAAATATTTTCAATTTATTTTATTAAATTTGAATTAATTTTATTATTATTCATAGTTTTAGTAATTTATTTGATTAAATTCAATAAAAATTCTTTTAAAAATTTCAAAATGCTCCGTTTTACAATTTTTTTTACTGATAGAATTTCCAAAATTTATGTTAAAGTAAAAAAAAATTAATAAATTTAACCCTAACCAACCTGCATTTTCATTTTTAAATATAGAATTCTTTATAAAATGAATTTAAAATAAGCATTAAATTTAATGAAGGTTAACAAAAAAAAAATTTTTTTAAACTTTAAGTTTTAGGGTAAATCTAGAATGTTCTGTATACGGAACATTTGGTTGTTCCAGTTGCACAAGGCGTATTTTAATTTGTTCCGTTTACGGAACATCTGGCATTAAAGATACTATTTTAATTTTTATTTTAACGCATGTAACATTTTATTTTTTGAAATAATTAAGTGTCATTATTGTAAAATGAAGTAATTTTTAAGTTATAATATGTTTTTAATCAAAATATTCTGAAACTTAAATTCTAATCATTATGATGGTATTGATAAAAGCAATTAAAAGTTGGTTTTAAAACATAGAACAACTTTGCATTTTGAACATTGTACTGAGGATTTCAAATCACAATCTTTGTTTGCACATCAATGTCTTCCTTTAATAAAATCTGGCCAATGATCAACTCTATCGTACCTTATATCGTCATTTACTTTTCTTTCGCTTTAGAGTTGGATGAAAATTTTCTTCAATGCTACACTTACTTCCAAGATTTGCTGCAGGTCTTCCTTGTCTCGGTAGATCTAACACTATTTTATTAGTCAACATTAAACTATCAGATACTTTTAGAATAAAGTCTCTTAGCAAAATATTCTTATATTTACCATCTTTATTAACAATTTTGTATATCAACCAAGCATTTGTCATACACACGCTGAAACACTTTTTTATGCGCTCATCAAAAAATTTCAAGCGTGTTTTTAAATTGCAACAAATCTTTTTTTTTAAATCAAATTCTAATTAAAAAGGAGCAAAAAACAAATATTTTTTAAAATCGCGCACGGCAGACAAATAATTACTGTCCAGCCAGCACTTTTTCGTGCGCTTGTGCTAATTTCAAATGGAGAAGACTATAAATACTTTAATGTAAATATATATATACAACTCTCGGAATTAGGGTCGGCATTCGGCAATGCTGACCTAACTGCCAACCTAAAAGTGCTTGAGGTCGGCAAAAAATTGCCGACCTCAAGCACTTTGACCTTGTTTCTTTGTTTTATCATTGGACCTTTGCATCAAATAATTTTTGCCGACCTGATGCCATCCTCAAAAAGATTGAGGTCGGCAAATTATTGCTGGCCTCATTTTTCCTAATTCCAAGGGTTGTATATATATGAGCACATAAAAATAACACATAAAAAAACATATTTTAAAAAATTTAAATGTAAATACTTTGCAGCATTTTTAAAATCATCCTAATGAGATTAAAGCAGTACACATAACGTAAGAAGTGTAGGTAAAAACTTTGACAAACCAAATTTTTCTTATTTAAATGACTCAAATGAATATTAATAAAGTTTTAATACTAAAATAATTTTTTAAAGTTGCTTTTGGTCTTGCGGAAAAAGTGTTTTTGGTTTGATAATTTTCATAAATGTCATGAAAAATCACTCAGGAAGAGTGTCACAAGTTTTTTTAAATTTCTTTTATTAATTATTTTTAATGAATGAGCTCAGCACTTTTGCAATTCTTTTGTTATGTAATTCTAACTCTTAATAATAGATATAAAAAATCCATGATAAGTTATGTAAGTTAAATATATAGTATCAAAAAAAAAAGTTTATTTTCCTTAGCCAGTCATCTCTGGCTAATATATATTTTTTAAATTGGTATAGAATTATTTTTGTATAGAATAAAATTGGTATAGGATTCTTAACATTTTATGTAAGTTTCTAATACAAATTGCTTTACTGATTTGCAGAAGTCTGACCTAAAAGTTGTCACAATTTTTTTACCTTGTTTTTTGTGTAATGTAAGTTAAGTGGCATTTTCAGTAATAAGTTTGCCCTCTTTCGGCCAGACTCAAAACTTTTTAGCTTGTTTAATCTTTAGACCAACAACTTTCATACAAAATAGCTAAAACTTTAATTTACAGTTTAAAAAAGCAAATATTTGATAAAGTTGTTGCGCGTGTAGCGTAAGTTAAAAATGGAATTGCCCATATATATATACATATACATATATAAATATATACATTTATATATATATATATATATATATATATATATATATATATATATATATATATATATATATATATATATATATATATATATATATATATATATATATATATAAATTTATATATATGTATATATATATATATATATATATATAAAATTCTTTGCTAAAAAAATCATAAAAATCATAAAAATCATAATTTATTTGATTGTTATGAAAACTTGTATTGCTTAACAACCAGATACTTGCCTTAGTTACACACAGATAAATGGACTTTCAAATTGATTTTCAACCGTCTTATTTGAAATATTAAATATTTAGATAATTAATTTTAAGTAAAGGTTTAGGTCATTAATAATAAAACAAAAAATAGTGCAATAAAACATTGACAATTTGAAACACACCAACAATTTATAAAATTTAAATACATGCATAAAAGAAGAAATCATATTTTGGGTGAGATGACAGTCGAAACTTGAAGCAAATCACTTACTCCTTCTGGGAGTTGAGATAATGAATTTTAAGAAAGTTCAAAAGTTTAAAAAACTACTTTTTGCAAGTATATTTCATAAAATATTTTTTGGAGATATTGTTATACAAAGGGTTTAAAATTAAAAATAATTTTAAAATTAAAAATAATTTTAAAATTAAAAATAATTTTAAAATTAAAAATAATTTTAAAATTAAAAATAATTTTAAAATTAAAAATAATTTTAAAATTAAAAATAATTTTAAAATTAAAAATAATTTTAAAATTAAAAATAATTTTAAAATTAAAAATAATTTTAAAACTAAAAATAATTTTAAAACTAAAAATAATTTTAAAATTAAAAATAATTTTAAAATTAAAAATAATTTTAAAATTAAAAATAATTTTAAAATTAAAAATAATTTTAAAATTAAAAATAATTTTAACTAATTTTTAACTACTAAACTATTTTTTCAAAAAAAATTTTGTATTCAATTTTTTCCTTTGTTACTTAAAGATTTATATATTTTAAATTTTTTCCTTCATTTCTTTTAAATAATTTCTGAATAGTATAGAAAAACCTCAACCCGAGGTTGGCGAGGTTAAAGTTTAATTTTAAGTTGCACTATAGTTTGACTAAAAGTTGACCGAATTTTTTTCTAAATCATGTTGTTTTTTGTTTGTTACTTTTGTAATAAAGAGTTTTCATTTATGGAACATGTAATTGTAATTTCATTTATGAAACATCCTGATTTGTTTGAATTTTTTTTTTTTTAAATCATAAACATTTCTTTCATTAAATTTTTTGTTTGTTTTTCTTTTAAGAAAGAACATAGCAACATAAAAGATCTTCTAGATGTAATTAACTCTAAAGTTAAAAGTTTGTTAACCAATGATACGATAAACATTGATGAAAGAGATGATTATGAGTCGGAGGGTGTTTTACGTGATGAATCAGCGTTGACAAATGATGAAGTCCAAACATTAATGTTAAACATAAGCAACAAGTTGTTTTATTTGCAAAAAACTATTTGTGACTCTGTCTATAATTGGAATATAAAGTATGTTTATAATTATACCCTAATTTTTTAAATTAAAAAAAAATTTTAAATTTTTAAAATTTTTTAATACTTCATTGTTTATTTGTTTGTTATATTTGCAGATTACAAGATTTTATTATTCAAGATAGAAAAAGAGAGAAAGTAATCCGTGCAGCTTCACCAGTGAAAACATCTGTTATAAATGAAACAAATGAGGTTTCTTAATTGTTTTTAAATATATTTTTTTAACTTTTTAAATATAATTAACTTTTTTTTTTATAAATTTTTTTAATTATATATCTTTTAATTTGTATTGCTTGTTGTATTTAAAATTATAGTCAATTTATGTCTTAAATAACTTAAATTAAAGAAATTAATATTTCAAAATAATACACATGCATTTTTTATCTGATAAACACTGCATGCAAATAATATTTCATATTAAAATGAAGAAAAACATGAGTTTGACTAACATTTAAGTGTCAGTTATTGTGAAGAAAAAAAAACTTTGTTGGGCTTACAGGGGACTCAAAAAAGAAAATTGTTCTAACTTACCCTAGGGTTGTTATATAATTCATTATAAATGCAATATTATGTGAGTAATCTTAATACTTATGTAAAAATCTTAAAAGTTTATGTAATGAAACTAAACCCTTTACTCATATCTGTAACACATACATACCTTGACTCGTATCTGTAACACATACATACCTTTACTCATATCTGTAACATATATATACCTTTACTCATAACTGTAACACATACATACCTTTACTCATAACTGTAACACATATATATAAAATGTGTGTGTTACAGAGTAAATTTAAAAATTAAAAGATTGCAGTGGTCTTAATGTTACTTTTTAAATAAATACATAAATCAAAAGTAAAAAATGAAATGGAAATGAAAATTATCATTGTCTCCTCTGAATATGAATTTTTAATGTGTAAAATATGTTTTTATTTATTTATTATATTACTATTACCTATTTACATTATTATATTATAGTTGTTGTTATTTATTTGTACTATAAGATGCCATCATATTCTAATTTCAGTTTTACCCTGAAAACTCAATGGACATGGAGTTGACAAAACCCAGAACAATTACGCGTTTATCACTAAAAGATCCTATTGCTGAAGTTTGTTTAAATAATGGCACCATATTACGCCAAACATATATAGGGACTACACCAGCAGTATATGGCTCTTCAGATAGCGAATCAACACCCTGGGCAAGTTCTTTAAATTTGCAATCAGAAGTAGATGGAATTGATAGAAATAGTAATGATACAGTTAAAGATGTTAATGACTCTGCAATCGCAAATAAATTAGGTAGCCCATATACTATAATAGAATCTTCCTCTTCTGTGCAATCTAAAAGCCCAAAAAGTTTGCATATTGATGAAATGGGTAGTAAAGAAGATGATCTTGAAATAATTAAAAATGGTGCATTGGAAAATGAAAACATTGAAATAAATGACACAAATAGTACTAACGATAATGTTGATAATCCACATTTATTGAGTTACATTTCCAGTATTGATCAGAGTTTAAACTGTCAATCAATTTGTAATGACAATGAATTTTCAGAAAATAGGCTTTTAAATACTGATGAAGAGTCTAATCTTTTAGAGAGTGAAATTCATCAAGAGACAGACTATATTGAAGATTCTGTTAATGAGTCCAGTGTTATGCTTGGAGAATCGGCAACTCATTATAATAGTGAATCTACAATTTTGTTAGGGGAATCAGCATCACATGATGAGGACACGCATGTATTAGCAAAGCGTCGAAAAATCTTTCCTAGTTTTACTGAGTTTCCTTATCTCTTAGAAGATAAACTGGAAAAAATTGAGTACCTCACTCCAAATGAAGTCAAAGCTATGCAATATGCCAGGAGGAAAAGAGTTGAATGGGAACAAAAAATAACAAACAAAAAAACAACTCCAATTGATTTTCAAGTTGATGAAGGCCTAGAGTTTGAAGCTGATCATTTCAATAATGTTAAAGATATTGAAACTTCAGACGAGAGCTTAAGCAAAAGATCAGTTTCAACAGCGAGCAATACAAAAACTTCTAAAAAAAATAAGTTTTTAAATCCAAAAAAATTTTTTAAGTCTCAATTAAGTTTAACAGACAATTTGTCAAACAAAAAAAATAATATTTCTGAAACTTCGAATTATGAAAGTGATAAAGCACCTGTTTGTAAAACAATTTTACCGAGTCCACCTACTGCTGCTATTTGTACTACTGGATCAACAACATTTCATAAGCAAAAGCTGATTGGTCATCGTCGGTTAAAGTCAGCACCAAGTTCTGTTGCCAAAAACACGGAAGAGAGCTTAAAACTAATAAATGAGCTTCTTAAAAACAAAACATTAAATGTTTCTTTTAAACGACAACGAAGTCATTCATTTGGTCTTGAAAATAAAGAACAAAAAGAACTTAGTCAAATGGCAGAGGCTGTTTGCAAAGAAGATAGAATAGACTCTGAAAGAGATGATCCTGAAGTGTTACAGGTAATTTTTTAATTAGTTAAAGTTAAATATACACACACACATTCATAATACTTTCAGACCTTTAAAGTTGGGAACCACTATATAACCACTTATTATTATAAAAAGTTTAAAAGTTCTAAAACTTATCTTTTTAGTTATTTTATTCTCATAAAAGCTCATAAATGTTTCAACTAAATTATTTCTCTTACTCCCCTTAAAATTTGTATAAATTCTATTGTAATAAATATTATATAATATTATATAATATTTATTAATAATATTGTAATAATAGGTTTGCCTTAATTAAATTGCATGAACTATTTGCATTTCATAAAGTAAAGAAATTTTTTTAAAAGCTTACAGATGAAAGACTTAGAAGCTTTACGCTTATAAGTGAAAGACTTTAAATTAAATATGTATTTTAGTATGATGAAGGATTGGTCAATTCCGAACAAAGCTCTAATATCGCTGCATTACAAGAGATGTCTGGTTTTACAGACAATACTGATATTTTGAAAAAAAAGAACAGGATGGGTAAATTTAAATAAACAGAAGTTTGTTATTATTTAATATTTGTACAGCTATTTTGTGTATTTTATATTTTATATTATATATATTTTTTGATTATTTATGTATAGTAATAGTAATAGTAATAGTAATATTTATTGCTGTAACAATTACATATTTGTTTAAATATAAATATTTAAAAATAAAATAAATTGTGGAACGCGATGCAAGCATCGGGTTATAGACAGCCCACACAAATTAAAAAAACACAAGTTATGAAAAATTGTTTATCTATTCGCGCTTTGAAAACATTCAACGATGTTGCTTCAATGATTTCATTTGGTAACAAATTCTAATTTTTACAAACTCGATTGGTAAAAAAATTATATCTCGGTAAATATATAAATTATGTATATATATATATATACATATTTAAATATATATTTTTTTATATTTTTATACAATGTATTACAGGAAGAAGTGCGATTGCACGTCATTATATGACCAGGCAAATAACATTTTGTTATGACAATTTGACCGCGGTTATTTCAAAAAATGTTTCAAAAATGTGCTGAATGAAAAATATTCTGAATAATACTTAAGGAGAAATTAATTAAATTTAATTTTCTTAACAAATGTTTTTATATTAGCAAAATGCTTTTAAATAAAGTAACAATTTACTAATAATGATTTTTTTTTAAAAGTACAATTGACAGTTGAATATAATTTATATTTTATAAATTTAAGCATGCATTTTTTTATAATAAACGCTATTAAAAAAAAAAAAATTATTTTGTCTTTATAAACGATGACTTTCTAAGACAATGAAAGTCTCTTTAACAAATTTTAATATAAGAATCATTAAAGTTAATACATTTAAAAAGATAAAAAAAGTTTAGTTAAAAAAAAAAAATGTTTTAAAAGCCGTGACAATTAAATAAGTATGATCTCTATGCTTTTATATTGTCTGCTCTTTAATGAAGTAACTTTTAATGAATTTTTATATTAATTGTTGATAAACTTTTATTGTTTTTATTTATATAATTATGTATTTTTATAAAAATATTAATCTTTTGAAACAAATTTAAAACAAAAAACAAAGTACAAATGTTAAAACAAAGAGTAAAATGGTTTTTTATTGCGTAGTTGTTTTCTTGGTTACATTTACATGGAGGCTGGTATTTTTAAATTAGTAGAAAAAAATACTATAATTTAAATTAAAAATAAATTGTGCTTTTTATTTTAAGGGTTTCCGATAATATTATATAAACATTATTAAAGATAAAAAATTATTTTGAATGTAATTAAAAGAATGATTTAAAAAAACTAAGTATTTTAGTTTGTTGAGTTTTGTTTTAGTTGGTATATATATATATATATATATATATATATATATATATATATATATATATATATATATATATATATATATATATATATATATATATATATATATATATATATATATATTATATATATATACCATGCTATTTATATATATATATATATATATATATATATATATATATATATACCATGCTATTTATATATATATATATATATATATACCATGCTATATATATATATATATATATATATATATATATATATATATATATATACCATGCTATTTATATATATATATATATATATATATATATATATATATATATATATATACCATGCTATTTATATATATATATATATATATATATATATATATATATATATACCATGCTATTTATATATATATATATATATATATACCATGCTATATATATATATATATATATATATATATATATATATATATATATATACCATGCTATTTATATATATATATATATATATATATATATATATATATATATATATACCATGCTATATATATATATATATATATATATATATATATATATATATATATATATATATATATATATATATATATATATATATATATATATATATACCATGCTATTTATATATATATATATATATATATATATATATATATATATATATATATATATATATTATAATTATTTATATTATACATTATTATATTATTATATATTATACATTATTATTATATATTATATATTATATTATTATATATTATACATTATTTAAATTTGGTGGTTTTTTTAGTATGAAAAGTCTGTTAGACAATCTTTTTACTGTTTGTGCAGTCATTTACTCCCACCTAAGCTTGCATTTACATGTATTAAATCTAAGACAAATTCAGATTCATTTTTTAATCAAAATACTTTAGTTTACTTAATCAATAATACTTAATCAAAAATCAGATTCTTATTCAAAAAAGCTTTGATTACGCTGTTAAAAGAACAGATAATCAGTACATCCGTATGTACTGAGTATCTGTTTTTAAAGCCTGAGTATTCCTATTGAATATATTTTTAAGCTATCACTTAAATTGGGAGTGGTACCAAAAGCATGGAAAGGTTCAAACATAGTTCTGATTTTTAAAAATCATGATAAGCTTGATCATTCCAACTATAGACCTGTTTCTCTTTCATCAGTTATATGCAAAATTTTAGAAAAGATATTAATAAGACAATAATTTGATAAATAAGAATCAGCATAGTTTTTTACCATGTAAACCTTGCTTTACAAATTTACTTGAATACCAAGATATTGTAACTCTAGCAGTGGATCAAGATTATCCTATTGATATATTCTTTACTGACTTTTCTAAAGCATTTGACAGAGTTCACCATAGAAAACTTATATTAAAAATTGAATTGTACGTTATAAAGAGATTCATTCTTAAATGGATTGAGTCTTTTTTATCAAATAGAAGGCAAAGAATTGTTCTTGAAGTCATTGCTTCTATGTGGCTTAGTGTTTTAAGTGATAAATATTTAGTTTTAACTGTGAGTTTGATTCTCTTTTTGTTGCTTAGTAAATGTTAAATATTGCAATCTTCTTTTATCTGTTTTTTTTTTTTTTAATCTTTTGACAATCCTCTAAATTCTTTGAACAAATTTTTATTTTATGTGTTGTCTTTCAAATGTTTCAAAATTAAGTATTTTCTTTTTTCTTTCTGAGCCAGAGAGAAAAAAGAAAAAAAGATATGAATTAGGTAAAAAAAAAATACAATCTTTATTTGTATATTATTTAGAAAACTTGATGTGCTTGTCATAAAATGTAGTCATCATATTCTCCATCTATCAAGGTTTTTTTTATAGCAAAAAGTATGCAATTTTGAAAACATATTGCTTGTCCAAAACATTGCTAAAAAAATTTTTTCTTGGAAAGCACATCAAATATTAAAAGTAAATAAATATTATTAGAAAATATTAGGCTTTTTACAGTTTATAGAAAGAAAAAATTTTATTTCTATGTTTTAGGTCTTCACTTTTGATTAAGCAAACTATTGTATTTTGATATATTCTTTGAAATTAATAATGTAAAGGAAATTAATAGTTACATAGATGCCAGTCACACGCAAACTGCTTACATTTTTCATATTTTACCTTGAAAAGTATCAAAATGTTTATATACCTTTTGAATGATTGCCAAACAGTAGCTCCTTTGTTTGATGATGTATATGAATGGACAATGTATATGAATGGGCGATGCATATGAATGGGAGATGTATATGAATGGACGATGCTTATGTATGGACAATGTAAATGAATGGGAGATGAATATGAATGGACAATGAAAAAAGCAAAGATAATAAAGATTTGTTATTAAAAAACTAGGAACTGAAAAATCATTGGGAAGCTAATCGATTTATTAGAGCCAATACATGATTTTACAAAAAGTAATAAATTAACTGATTATACTGCTAACTTTAGAAGTGAATCAAATAATCATACAGTTATCAATTTCATCAAATCTACTCCATCAAATTCCAAGAAAATTTTAATCAAAGATGTGAAAATTTTCATAAAATTGAAAAGTTGTACGCAGCTATATTTAGATCCTCAATTCATTTCAATTGAGCCATGAATTGCAGCTCACACCAACAAGTCATCATTTCTCTAGCGAAGAGTTATCGTCAACATTAAATGGTTATAATTTTAAAAAATTATTCAAATAATATGAATTAACATGAAAAAAATTTTTTAGTCAAAAAAAAAAAACTGACTTCAAAAATATATTATTTGATTTTGGTTGACTTTGAAATATACATTAATCAATTTAGTCGACAGTTGAATTATTTTAAAGTTGTAACAACTCTAATATAAAACTTGAATAATGAAAATTCAAATGACTTACAGTTACACATAGAAATATAATTTATGTTTTTATTATGTATATATATATATATAACATATATGTATTATATATGTTATATATATATTATATAATTTTTACAAAAAAAAAATTTTTGATTGAAAATTCACTAACTTTTATGTCAGGCCATATGCCTGATGTCATCCAAACAATATGGTTTTTCCATCCATTTCTCCAATATGGCTGCAACTCTGCCCATCCAACCTTAAAGTATTTTGTTTTAAAATGTTTTTAAAATTATCTAATTATTAAATCTTTTAAGATCAATTTGCTTGTCTGTGTTTGAAGCTGTAGTAATGTACTTTGTAAATAAAGTTTAGAGTTTACAAAAAGAGCTTTAATTTCTGATGCATAAGTAGAACCAAAGCCAATATAATAATGACAAGGTATAGAAGCTTTCATTTCTACCAAAATCCAGAAGATTATAATAAAGTACAATTTTGGGCAGAGAGACAAAAGACAATTGTCTTTTGTCTCTCATGTAAGGATAAAATCACATAAAGAATTCCAGCCTTAGTTTACCCAAGAAGTGTGTCAATAGAATGTAGAAGAAAAGTTGAACATTAGCTGTTTTCTCTCAATGTCAGAAGACTTGACAAGCCATTCTGTTCACATTTCTGATGTGCCCTTACATTAATAACATGGTGCATTTTAGCAGTAAAAGCAGCACTTTTTTTGTAGTTACAAAACAGTTTGTTTTTAAATCTTACTTGGAAGCATAACTGTTTCCATAGTCAGTATGACAATTTTATTTTAAGAGAAGACTCATCTATATACACACATGTATGAATGACGCAATTAGATACACACTGAGGGCTTGTATATACATGTATAGATTTATATTAATTAAGTATATGTAGGTATATATTTACCAACATTTTTTGCAATCTAATTTTATACCGTTTTTTTGAAAAAAGAAAAAAACAAAGAATATAAAAAATATATATATTGCTACTCTAACCCAAACCTTCAGTTGATGTAGCAGCAACTTCCTTTCATTTTTTCCTTATGTACTGAAGCCCTCCCAGTCTAGATCAGTATGATGTCATATTGGGGATCTAAATGTTAAAGATTTATATTTGTATGTATATATATATATATATATATGTGTATATTTTTTTTTTTGGGAAATAGCTACTGGCACCCCTAAATGTGTTCCATGTAATAAAATGATACTGAATTTAAAAAATTTTTTGAAACAAATATTTTCAGGAGTTGCTGAAGACCAATTTATAAATAAACTATTATTTTAGATTTTAGTGAACAGAAAATTACATTTTTTTAACTAAAAACGAAAAAATGGAATTCAACAAGATTTTTTGATTTTTAATTTTTTTTTCTCAATGTTTTTTATAAAATGATGATTATTTTTAAAGTTTTTATATAATTTCACTTTGTTAGAGACCTTTTTTGTAAATTCAGTATACACACACACACACACACACACACACACACACACACACACACACACACACACACACACAGATATTTTTACTAAATGTTATTGATGGTGTCATACTGAAGTAGCTATTTTCTAGGGATGTAGTAGATACATTGGCTGAATATTTGGGTTTAGACAGGCACTATCTATGTATGAATGACATATATTATGGCAAACAAATTTTTTTTTTTAAGTATTTCCTATCTAATCCAAACCTTTAATTGATAAATATAATAAAGTCTATGGCTAAAATTACTATTCGTATACATTTTGATATGAGTTTTAAGTAATTTTTATTTAAATAACAATTAGTCTGTTAAAAACATTGTTAATTTTATATTCAATATTGTTATCAATCTCTTATATGTTATTTACTTATTAAAGTATTGCAGGGCATAATTTACATAAACTAATTTTTTTTTCCAGATGTTGATAGTCTTGAATCAAAGTTTACAAACAGTGGAGAAAGTAAATTCATTTTTTAAATTATATTTTAGAGTTTATCTCATTATTTTTATACAATAATTTATGTAAATATATTTATATATAATTTAAAAAATTATATATAAATTTTTGCTATTTTTAAAGATAAATTAATTAAATAAAAATCATTAGATAATAAAAAATAAAATGAAATCAATGCGATTAAATATTAGTACAATGTAATACAACAAAGTTTGTAACACTTCTTAGAGTTTGTACTCCTTTTAAATTTTAAAAAAGGAATTTGCAATTTTTAAAAGTGCTGAGACAAATTGTGATCATATCATAGATAAACATTAGAAAATAAGTTAAAAGTTAAATAAACTTTCCACAACAAATTATTGAATGAGATATTAACTAAAACTTCTTAATTTTTAATACCATTTTGTTTCTCGCAAAGGAAAGTTCTGACTATTTTTATTTTTTACATTCGGTCTGATTAATGCCCTTAAATTTGATTTCGATAAAAAAAGTTTCTTTCAAAAAACTTAAATCAAGTTTAAAATATAAGGGTTTCCCCTTAGGCGGTTAAACAAAAATATATTATATTTTTATTTACTACTTCTAATTCACACACTTGCCCTCAACATTTAAGATCGATAACAATATCAACGAAATCTGTTTGAAGATTCTTTTAGAACTTTGTTTGTAGATCGCAAATCTGTTGAAATTAAAATCGTAGCTGCTTGTCCATGATTTTTAACTAACTTTTGATTTTAGACATTATTTTAAATTATACATTTTCATCTGGCCTATGGTTAAGGACAAAACTGTACAGTTATGTAAAAGTTACGTTTTTATTATTTATAAGATAAAATACTTCAGCTGTCTGAACTTTTTAAAGTTATTATAAACCTATATTAAGCAATAGAACTTCTGCATATTTTAAATCCAATTGAAGCAATTGCTAAGTGAATTGAAATCAAAAAAAGCAAAACGTTGTAATCGATATTTTCATAATAAATGTTAAAAAAACCAACAAATAAAATTAAAATAAGTAGAAAATAAAAGTATTATAAATGTCTAGAATTAAATTCCACAACAAGCTTTTATCAATCGCTCAACATATTAATATAATATGATTATATTAATTTTATATTGCGACCAATACTTTGAAAATTTGCTGCGGATTGGCGGATTGATTGCGGATTCAACCTGTTCTGATACTAGTCCTAGTTCATAATCTGATTTTATTTAACAAAGGCATTGTTCAATGTGTTCAAGAATAATGTGCATTGTTCAATGTGTTCAAGAATAATGTGCATTGTTCAATGTGTTCAAGAATAATGTGCATTGTTCAATGTGTTCAAGAATAATGTGCATTGTTCAATGTGTTCAAGAATAATGTGCATTGTTCAATGTGTTCAAGAATAATGTGCATTGTTTGCTAAGTATTCAACCAACCAGTGTAGAATCAGAGAGAGCTTTTTCAGTAGCTGGCTTAATCTGCACCAGAATTTCTTCAAGGATGGGAGATAATTCGCTTAACAACCTATGTTTTATGAGAACTTATATCAACAACCAACTGCAGAAAAAATAGAATCTTAAAAATTTATGTTTTCTTCCTTTTTTTATAATATATAACTAACATTTTACTGAATTATGTTTTTCTTTTTTTTATTCTTTAAATAAATTAATATAGTTTTTTTTAATTGCCAAACCATTTTTTAATTATATTATTTATTCATTCGTATTATTATAGGAAAAAATAATAATACCGGTATTAATACCAGAATCCTGGGATTAGAAATTTTCAATACCAAAACTATTTATTCCCAACCCTACTTACAGGTAATGAGATAAATTTTGACAAACCTTTTCAATTCCAAAACATCTTTTGACAACATTACCCATTTTAACAATGAAACTAAAGGCAACAACAATAATGGCCATAGCATAGCTTGTTCTCTGCCTAAAAGTGGCAATAATCCCTTCCAGAAAACATAATTGACAAATCCTTGTACTAAATGTAGTTCTGGAAGAGGGCAATTAGCTATAACTAAAGTACAATCTGGTTTGTTAAAAAGTAGAAGGTTCACTGTGCTCATATTATTTGGGGCATCTCTTTTTTTTTATTCCTCCTAATAGCTGGGACCTAATAAAATATATATTAAACATGTGTTTAATGATTAATATTAAACGTGTGATAATATCATATGATAACAGATAACATAACAGTGTGATAACATTTAAAACATGATGTTGCTTAATTTTACCTGTCATACCATTTTCTAAGAAAGTGGTATGACAACCATATGTTCGCACATCTGCACTTTTGTTATTCAAACAAGAAACATCTAAATTGCAGTTTACATCACATATATTTTCTTCCTCTTTTGTATTCAATCCTTGGAGTGATCATAATTTAAATAGCAATATGGACAGAGATTTGTTGAAGTGGCTGTCTGCAGACCATTTACTACCAAAATTGATTTAAAATCAGCTACAAAAACAAAAAGATTCCTATCTAACCTTATTAGGTAAACATCAGTTTCATGTTTTCATTGGATTTTTTAATTTGAAGTACTATACAAAGCATTATCAATGTGAACACCTGTAAACTTTCCTATTTTTTCTAGCAGTACCCTCTATAGAATGCAAGGATCTTTTTTTGCTTGCTGAGCTCTTCAGCTTCCTCCTCATTTAGTTCATGATTTAGCTCTGGGTGATAACTCTTTGGTAAAATTGTTGCACAAATTTTTAGAAAGCCCTGGCTTCCATCAGCCATTACCTAAGTTGAATAGAAAAACTTCTGAAAATTATATTAAAAATTAAATTATGATATAAATATGAAATACAATGAAACCTTAATGTATACTTTTTTATTAATCTCTCTAGCTCTCTTTATGACATCCACAATATCTTGTGAATCTGCCAAACAAATAATTCTTTTTTCCTTTTTTTTAGATTCCCCTTCAACATAAAACATATATTTTGTAGTTTAATTTAAACTATTTAAAGATTTAGATTTTTCTGATGTCTGGTCTCTTTAATAGGCAGGAACAGCCTTTTTACCTATATTGGATCTAATAAAATTAGTAAATTTCTCCAAGAAATTTTAAGATATCCAGTGTTTACGTGAAGGTTATTCAAGCCTTCACTTATAAACTTGACTTTTTTTGGAAATATAAGGTTTTAAAACAATTGAATAAAGTTCCAAGCAGATTTTTTTTTCTACTTGAATCTTTTTGATTTTCTGCTTTAGTTTTCAGTAATAAAGTTGTTAACTGGTCTTTTTCTTTTTTTGTTAAGGTTTTGTTAAAAAGCTTTTCAATATTTTCTGCTAATTTTATTTGCTTGCAATAATAGGACAGTTTTTTTCTCTGATTTGCAATATAAACAAATGATTATTGCATGTATAGTAGATCCATCTTCATTGCCTATAAATTTTGAAGAAGGCTATCATTCTTTACATGAACAAGATTTTAAAGTAACCTTTCTAATTCTGGCAGCAGCAAGTAAATCTGTCTTCAGTAATTTTTATCAATAGTATATCTTCATAATTTGGTATTTTAGGCATTTTTCTATTTTTAATATCTTTGTCTTGCTCATTTAGTGTTATTCTGCAGGTACCACATATACTGAGCTGTTTATTATGTCAAAATCTGAATTTATAAACATTTTAATGTGTCAGTTTGCAATCTTTTCTGTGATTACAAACTGTTGTTACTTTTTTTTTTTTTAATAAATTGATTTCTACATGGTGCGCACTTTTTTAATCTAGATTCATCATAATTTGCTAATTTGTTTTTAGTATATTTTTCAAAGTATAATACTCATTACTTACGTATTAAATAATAAGTAAAATTAAAGATGTCAAAGATAAGAATTTATTTTAATAATTAATAATATCATAGTTAGTACATTTTTTGTCATTTCAGATTACAATTACTTCATACAAATTCATAGTTTTATTAATTTAGTTAAATAGAGTACTTAATTATTTAGTAATACAAAATTATATTAATTAAAAACAGAAATATATGCAAATGATCTAGTAATGCTATCCATATCTAAACCAGACATTGACCTTTTTTAGATAAAACGGTCAATTTGATAGTCATTTTAAAATCTTGGACAAGCAGCTTGGATTTTAACTTCAACAGATTTGTGATGTACAAACAAAGTTCTTAAATGATGCGGAAACAGTTTTTTTCAAGATTTTTTTAAATGATGCAGAAACAGTTTGTTTCAAGAAACCTTTTTTTAAATGATGCGGAAACAGTTTGTTTCAAGAAACCTATTTTTAAATGATGCGGAAACAGTTTGTTTCAAGAAACCTTTTTTTAAATGATGCGAAAACAGTTTGTTTCAAGACTTTTTTAAATATATAAATAAAAAGTTCTAGTTATTTAAACATTGATAAATCTAAAATGTAAAGGTTATTTTTAAATTATATAGTCTTAAGTTTTATTTCATCAACTCTGTACTCAAGTTCAAAAAAGTTTGTTTTGTTGTCCTCTTAAGCACTTGTGTGAACAAGGTTTTGTATGTTTTTCCCTATGTCATCCAGAATAAGTAAATCTTGGACTTCAGCTATTATTATTTATGGTTTTCTTTATTCAACTTCTACCACGGACCCATCCATATGTGACACCTTATGACAAAATTAGATTTACTGTTAACCCAGTAGGCATGCCTCATCCGGGGGATGTTTGTTAGACATCTTACAAATGTCTGGGTATCCGATGGACATCACCTAGACAATGCATGCCCACTGGGTACTTTTTGAAATGGCTTTAAATTAAGTTTCAAGTTTTTAGACAGTTTTTATTTTATCAATTATGACATATTTTTAGAAACATTTGGTTTAGAGTATTATTTAATGTAGTTTGCTCTTAAAAAATTAGTTAAACATAAATTGATAAAACAACGACATGGCTTCGTTAATAAAAAAAAAAGTGTACTATTTATCTCCTTAAAATTGATTTTATTACAAAGGCACTTCCAGATAAATACAATGTAGATGAGTCAATATTTTATTTTGCAAAGGGTTTGACTATTTTATTGTTAAGGTTATTAGTAAAACTTGTTTGGGTCAGGATTAGTAACAAATTATTATTGTGGTGTAAAAGTTTTCAAAGTGAAAGATTTCTAAGAGAATTAATAGGAAAATTTGCATCAGAATGGAAAAAAAAATAGTGGAGTTCTTCAAGACTCAGTTTTAGGTCCACTATACTTTGTGTTATTTATATATAGCACTCATTCAATCATAATTGGATAAAGCTAGTTTACAAAGCAATCTTAAATATTTTAAGCTAGTTTACAAAGCAATCCTAAATATTTAAAGGAATGGAAAGATAACTGGAGATAAAATTCATTGCGCAAAAATGTAAAGTAATACATTTTGGAAACAATAACCTTAATTGCAAATACAAAATTGATAAAGTTATACTAGAGGATGGTTCTAGTTAAAAAAAATTTATTATTTTATTTTTATTATTAATCTTAATACTTTAATAAAATTAAAGTATTAAGATTGACTCTTGATTGGAGTACCATATATGCTATGTAATTGATAAAGCAAATGAGCAATTGGGAAAAACTAAACATGCATTTGAGTTTATAGATAAAAGTACAATAAGCTTTTTATATAAGTCATCAAGTTTTTCCCCATCTTGAGTATAGAGTTGTTATATGGATTCCTCATTGAAAAGGAGAAATCCATAGACTTGAAAATGTTTAAAATAGATTGACCAAAATATCAAGTTTAGTTAGTCATGAAGAAAGAAATATAAAATTAAAATTACTCTCGTTAGAAATTCAGAAAAGGCATGGTGATAAAAATGTAATTTACATAACTTAAATGAAAATTTTAACACTAATGGTCATGCAAGGGACCGTAACCTAAAAATCTGTAAAGAGTTAATAAATACACAAAATAATTTCAAGTGGAACACAATCACGCACAATTTTTTCTCCAATGAAATTTTAAACAGCTAGAAACCTTGTTTTAACACAAGAAGCCATTGAATCATTAAGTGTAATTCAATTAAAGAACCACATCAATAAACACTTCATAATTTTAAGCTGCTATTCTTAGTACTTTTAAATTATTGAACTGTTGTTACACTTCTTTATTATTATGACATGACTGGTTATTTCTTTATTATTATGGCATAACTATTATTGTGGCATAATTATTATTGTGGCATAATTATTATTGTAGCATAATTATTATTATAACTGGTCTTTAATAATTAACATAATTAACTAGTCTTTCATTATTATAGTAAGCTTAAAAATAATTTGTTTTAAATATATATTTTGAATTGATTTTAATTTTATATTGAAAAAAAAGTTTTTAACTATCATTTTTATTGTGCTTCATATAAGTGTTTCTAATCATTTAACAAACTTTTTTTAAATTTCAAAATACATACCTTTTATTTGACTTTTGATTTTTTTATATTGATATTAGAAAGATATACAATAGAATTGTTTCATTGGCTAGATAAGTAATTTATTAAGAAAGCATGCATAAAAGTGTTTTTTAGGTTACACAAGTGGTTTGTTATGTAGGTATATACACGGATAGAAATTTTTCAGTATATCCCCAGAAAAAATATTTCTGCACAATCCCAACAGAATTCTACTCGATTTTTTTTAATGCTTTGTTTTGTTTTTAGGCATCAATAAACGTGGTGGCAGTGAGAAAATGAAGAAAATTATATCAACATTTCTTCCAGCTTTTACATTTCAAACAATTCCTCGTCCTTTGTATAACTTTTAACGATTTTTAACATATTTTAGATTTTTATTTAAAGTAAATAAGAATTATTTTATGTTCTTTTAAAATTATTTCATATTTAAAAAATGCATATGGATTTTGATTCAGCCCATCCTACATGCATTACATCGCCCAGACAGGTGTTACAGCTACTATCATTATCAATGAAAAAGAGCCTACATCACTTATAGCATATACTCTCAGGTATTTGTATAAATATCTTATGGATTGCCTAATTTAGTTAGTTCTTTTTTTTTTACTTTATTCCTATTTGTAAATATTATTTCTAAACTAATTTAATAAATCTATTGTTTATAAATTTTGCCTTAAGCTGTCAAGAATATCAGAATCAATTAAAGAACATACAAGACATTTTGTCTGGAGTTAAACCTCAAGGTAGCAGCCTGCATGGCACTCCAATTTTACCAAGGAGTCAAATTTCCCAACAAAACAGTTCAGCCATGCTTTCGTCGTTAAAGTGAGATTTTTGTGTGCTAAATGCTGTGATTTCTATGTTCAAATTCTTTAGTTAAAAATATCTTTTTTTAATTAAATTTTAAATATTTTTTTTAATTTTGATGTATTTGAGTTTTTGTATTTTCTTTGGTATAGTGATGTTCAAAAAGCTGAAGTGTTACTGCGGAGAAATATAAATAAAAAAAATCCAGTGCCACGTCCAAACTCATGGGGTGGTTCTACTGAAATAAATGCAGGTACTAGAAGCAAGAAATATTTTTCTTTTGGTTTGGTAACTGAAGGTATTTGACCTAATTTGAAATTAAAAAAAAAAACACTGTAACAATTTTATCTTCAATTGCAATTTTATTGGTTTTTAGATTCATTTCTTCCTGGCGGTGAACATCATCCTCTTACCCATACTTCAAGTGATGCAACTGCAGATGAAGCTTCTGATACTGACGTTTTGGAAGAAAGTGGGAAATTAGGTAAGATATACATTTTATGTTTGTTTTTGAATTATGAAAACAATTTTCATTTACTTATTTTACCATTTTATTTTTCAAGGTGAAATCAAAAAGAAAGACAAGCTAGTTGATCATCACATAAAACTTCGTTAGTATTTTTTTAAATTTAAAATAATTAAAACTTTTTATTTACTTATATATTATTATTATTTGTTTTACTTACTTTTACTGTTTTTTTAGTGTATTTTTTTAAAGCACAAAAATATTTTATTTTATTTATTCTTATTATTTTTTAATTGCACTTTTACTAGCAAATTTGAGTGTAGCCAATAGTCACAGGTGATTTTTAACTTTTTTTTTGAAAAAACACTGTAAATTGGAGTACTTTCATTAAAAAAATCTTTTTTGAATATATATCTATATTTTTATGTCTAATTTGGATATATTATTTTAGAATTGTCAAATTATTATCAAAAATTATAACATTGTTATTATCTTGTCATTTTCTAAGAAACAAACTTTCTTCAAATAGTACTTAGACATCTTTTGCGAGCAAGGGCTGCTTTGGTTCTCTGAGGCATACTACTATCAACAAGCCTGTTAACAACAATAGTTTTAAGCTCTTTAATGCAGTTGAATTAAAGGTTTTCAATTAAATTTAGATTAAGTGATTGACTAGGCTACCAGTCCAAGGTTAAGATGTAGCGCACATGCAGTGTGCTTAGATTATTATTTTTTTGGAAAAGATAACTGCTATCTAGAAATAATTCTACTGGTAACAATAGCAAGGATCCCATGGTATTGATTTTAATCTTGTAAAACCTTTAATCTTGTAAGTTCTTCCTGAGGCAAAGCATTACTATATGTTCTTATATATTGCTATATATCTGTTCGTATATATTACTATATCTTCTTTTGATGCTTGAAAGTGTCTTTTATAAACTTAGAATGATACTTTTCATTACTACACCTTCAAATGCGCCATTTTTGAGAGTTTTTTTTTTATTTTTTTAAACATCTTTGCTTCCAACAAGGTTGCAAGCAACCACTAATTCGTGTTGGAAGTTACTGGAAGAGAAAAGATGAAGATTGTAGAGCAAGATAACGATTGACAGACGACTTAAAAGATTGCAAATTATATGAATCAGGAAAGCAAGATGAAGGAAGCGATTTCCAAAGAACTGATGTTTGAGGGAAAAAACTAGAGAAATAAGAGTTTTGGGAGCACTTAGGAACAGTCACAGAAAAAGGATGAGACTTAAATGAATGATGAGTAACACGAGAATGAATTTTAGTAGATGGCACAAGTGCCCATTATAGTATTTGTAGAAAAGAGAAAGAGAAGCAACATTACGGCGATGCGATAATGGTTGAAGGTTGGCTGCAGGTCCAACTATGTTTACAATGCATTTTTGCATCCTGTCTAAAAGAGAAAGGGCATCATTAGAAGATCCACCCCAGATATGGCAACAATACTCCATACAAGGCCGGATTTGGGATTTATAGAGATAGAGAATAAAATCCGGAGTAAGAAAGTGTCTAGTTCGATAAAGAGATGCAACCTTAGCAGATGCTAATTTTGTAACAGAACTGATATATGGTTTCCAAGAAAGATCAGAAGTAAGAGTTAATCCTAGAAGATGAAGGGTAGATGACTCATTGAGTACATTACCGTTTATAAATATAGGAAGGTCTAAATTATTGCGATAACAATTGACTGAAAAGAATCAAATTTTATCTGAATTTAAGTTCACCAGCCATTGTGAGCCCCATGCTGCATAAAAAGTGAGATATTTTTTAAGCTCAAAGACTAATGGGACAATAGTTAGACGAATCAGATGGCTCTTCTATTTTTAAAAATAGGGATGACAGATGCTACTTTCCAGCAGGCTGGAAAACAAGATTCTGATAAGCACTTGATGAATAGTTTTGAAAGGATAGACAACAGCTCCGGAGAACACTTCTGCAAGACTATAACAGGTATGTTGTCCAGATAGCAAGCTGTAGAAGAGTCTAAGCAGGAAATCACTTTAGATAAAGAAGCTAGAGTGATACGAATGTTAAACAATGGATCAACCTGTTTGGCAGCTATATCAGGTAGAATGCAACTAGTGGAATATAGAGATGATATTGATGAAAACTTCTTAGCAAATAATTCAGCTTTGTCTTTAGGTAAGGTGACAAAGTCTGAGCTATACAAAAGAAGTGGAATTACAGATTTTCCCTTATTATTGATACTATAAAAGATTCTCCAGAAGTCACAAGAGCCTAGTTTTTGTGATGAAATACAAGATTTTATGATCTGAGAATAGTGGGATTTGGTATTAGACAAAACCTTTTTACAATGGTTCCTAGCAGTAATAAACAAATGTCTGTTTTCTGGAGAATTTTTTAGCTGATAGATATGAAAGCAATGTTTTTGATTGACAATTGTAGCAGCACAATATTAGGAAAACCATGGAGAAGAGTGAGGCTTGACTTGGAATCGTTGAGAGGGAATAAAGGATTTCATGCTAGCCTGAATCTACAAATTTATGTAAGAAGCACCTTTATCAACAGGAAAACGAAAGATTTCTACTCAAGGGCCATCACGAAGAAAATTACGGAAATAGTCCCAGTCAGCTTTAAGGTAGTTGTAAGATGTATGATGATAGGGGGATTCTGATGATAAAGAAGAATGAGATCAAATTTTAGAGAGATCAAGCTGTGATCAGAGGCACCTAAGGGTGAATGTGGAGAAACTGAGCGCTGACTAGGATCAGAAACAAGACATAAGTTGAGTAGAGAAGGTAAATGATTGGGGTTGTCTGGAAAGCAAGTTGGAAAGTTAACTATTTGTGTTAGGGATTGAGAAAGGCAAAAGTTGTGGGCTTTAATGCCTGCAGAGTCACTGACACTAGAGCTAAACAATTCAGTATGATGAACATTAAAGTCACCGAAAACAACAATATTTGCTGATGGATAAAGAGAGAGGACTTGGTCAATATGATCAGAAATATCATCAAAAAGAGCCTTGAGATGAACGAAAGCGATATAGAACAAAGAGAAAGGTGATAGAGTGAAGTGGCGCTAAACGAAAGCACATAAAAATGAGTAGTCTGTGGATTCAAATCTAGTTTCCTGACAAATGGGTGAATTCTTATGAATGTAAATGCCCAGGCTAAGCATGTGACTATTGGAGTCTTTCGAATTAAAGGAAACCATCAACACAAATATCACAAGATGAGACAGCTGAACTCAAATTAGTCTCACAAAGACCAAGTAGGTCTAGTGAACTTTGCAAGAGATAAGACTCAACAGAAGAAAAGTTACTTTGAAGACCGCGAATATTAGTGAATGATAGGTTTAGCGAACTTGGTAATGACAGTGGTTTTTTGTGTTTTATAGTTTTTTTTACTTTATTCAGTTTTAAATTTGTTAAAGAATTTGACTTAAAACATAGATAGTACTCAGTACATTGTTTAATAGTTCAAGCAATTGCCTCATTACTATTAATACACTCTAAGCCATAACAAAGGGCTCCAATGTGGCCTTGGCAATGCACACCAAAAGTACAAACAGGGACACCATAAAAATAATTGCGTATCATGGCAATGTTAATACTTTGATATTTTTCAACTGTTGATGGAATCAGCCTCTCTGAGAGCTACCACAGAGTTTAGGAAACCTGACTACCAGCCGGCCTCAGAAGCATAAAACTGAGTTTTAGAGCTGTACCCTCATTAGATAATTGAATGAGTTGCCTAGTCATAAAAACAGAGACACAAGCAAAACCCATGCATCGAGTCAAGAAGATCCAGCATTCAACATCCTAAACTGAAAACAATGTATTAAAAATACATCTGCGCATACCTAATAGATGAAGAAGGGGTTCGAGGCTGGTCAACAGATAGAATCTGTTTACCCCTTAAGTCTTTGCCTAGGAGGCCTTCTACAAGACAGCAGCCGGATGCATTTAACATCTGCCCAAGATGAGTTTTTATATTGAGACACTATCTCTAGCCTTTACTTAACTAAGAGCCCCAAGGCAGGGGATGTTTTATGTTGGAGTTGGCATATCCTAGCTTTTGCCTAAAAAGACGTATCCTGCAAGGCAGCAGGACATGGTTTAAAATCAAAAAGAACTTGATTTAAAATCAAAAAGAGATTCCTCTGACCGAACAACTCGTCTTTGAAATAGTCCTTATATTCTCTGCACCATTAAGCCTATGCCAAATGATAATAAAATGCACCATTAAGCCTACGCCAAATGATAATAAAAATTTTTCCCTAATGTAATTGACAAGTTATAGTTTTTCTTGAGATGTTGGTAATACTAGTTTCTACTTTAATCTAATCTGTAGAAATGTGACAGTTTTTAATTTCAGCTCAAACAATATATCTATCTTTTTCTTTTGTAGTTTTTCTCTTTTTTTTCTGATCCAGATCAATGACTGTTTTTCCTGTGGTTTAATCTTACTTTCAAAACCTCTATTAATCATTTCAAATAATGATGTTTCAATCGTTCTTCCTTTATTAAAATCATTGAGAACCATTTTTATCTATATACTATTTATTTATATATCTAATCTAAGAAGTAATAAGTTATTACAGCTGTGAGTATGAAAATAGCAGTACCAAAAAATTATTCGTTTTTTCAATATTACTCTCCTTCTGTTAATACAGAAGGGCTAATTTTTTATGTGTGTATGTACTAGAATGAAATAAATAAATTGAGCAAATGAGAATTCATTACATTGTAGAATATCTTTATTTTTAATAAAAATATTGTAATTGACAAAATGCATTAAAATAGCAGTGGTTGTATTAATTTTAAAGTTAGTTAACAAAACTTGAAGAGATTTTAGTATTTTTCGTTGAAAAAGTAAGTACTTCTTCAATTATAACATATTCTTTATTTATTTGAGTATGCGTAATGGTAAAATTGTTTTCTAAATCTTTCAAAGTGGGCCGAGGACATCATTGTACACCAGCAGAACGCAACATTATTTTGAAACACTATAGAGAGGGTAAATCTTACTCATATATACAAAATATTCTCAGATGTTCAGCAAAGATGATTTCAAATGCCATAAATTATATAGCAAAAGTTGAAAAACGAGGGGGGAAACGTAAGACTACCGCGCAAGAAGACAGAAGAATTGTTAGATTTGTTAAAAGCAAACCATTTTCATCGGCCAAGCAAGTCAAAGATGATCTTGACCTATAGGTGAGTGAAACAACAGTTCGTAGACGCTTACGAGAGAAAAGTTTGTATGCACACAGCCCACGAAAGGTCCCTTTGTTGACAAAAAAACATACCGCTAAACGTTTGCAGTTTAGCGGTATGTTTTTTTGAGATGTTGGTTTTTACCGCTAAACGTTTGCAAACCAACATCTGAATTGGCCCATCGAAAAGTGGCGCAACGTATTATGGACTGATGAATCAAAAATAGTTCTTTATGGAGGTACAGGTTCAAGACAATATGTAAGATGTCCATCTAATACAGAATTCCAGCAAAAATATACCATTAAGTCTGTAAAACATGGTGGAGCCAAAGTCATGGTATGGGGCTGTTTCTCATATAATGGTGTCGAACCTATTTATAAGATTAATGGTATTATGGACCAACATATATATGTCGATATCCTCAATAATGTCATGCTGCCTTATGCTAATGAAGATATGCCGTTAAAATGGGTCTTTCAACAAGACAACGACCCAAAACACACTAGTCACAAGGCAAAAGAGTGGTTTCAGGTCAATGGGGTTGAGGTTATGGAGTGGCCTGCTCAGTCACCTGACCTAAACCCCATTGAAAACTTATGGGGAGACGTTAAAAAAGCAGTTTCTACTGCTAATCCAACTAATGCTCAGCATTTATGGGAAGCTACTCAACAAGGATGGTTAGCTATACCAGCAGAAAAATGTCAATGCCTAGTTGACTCAATGCATCGGCGTTGTGAAGCCGTTATCTCAAACAAAGGTTTTGCAACGAAATACTAAGGGTAAATATTGTTATATTAGACTTATTTTTAACTTTATAATGTTCAAAAGTTTGCAATTTTAATGTTTAATACCATAAAAAATAATTTTTTCTCTATTTTCAGATACCACTGCTGTTTTAATGACTGCGAGCTTTCTTGATATTATTGTTTTTTTTTCTGAAATAAAATGTAAAACTATTATTGATGTAATTTTTTTTGTTTTATTAGATTGAAGTGTCAAAATAAATGCAATAAATTTTTTTCAGTAATAAGTAAAAAAAAATTGCGCAATAGATTTCAAAATATTACAGGTACTGCTATTTTCATGCTCACAACTGTATATTGCATCATTAATGATAAAGAAGTATTCAATTAGCATATTGCGTGATTAATGAATACATATCAGATATATATATATACATATATATGTGTGTGTGTATTTGTGTGTGTGTGTGTGTGTCTATATATATATATATATATATATATATATATATATATATATATATATATATATATATATATATATATATATATATATATATATATATATATATATATATATATATATTATATATATATATATATATATATATATATGTATATATATATATATATTAATAAATACACTGCAGAAGCAGTGTATTTATCAATACACTTGCAATTTAGTTTTATGCCAGGAAAAAGATCAACAGTTTAATATTTATTGCAAGGAAATTTCAATTTGTTGACTTTAAAAAAGTTGTCACTAATTACATATGGAGATAGTGTGGCTGCACAATTATACAATTATGTTCTAATATTATTCATTATCATCTAATATCTTTGTTGTTTGTTAAAACTCAGACAAGTTTCTAATAAAGTTACCTCTAATAAGTTTCTAATAAAGTTACCTCTAATAAAGTTACCTAAAGTTTCTAATAAGTTAAGATATATATATATATATATATATATATATATATATATATATATATATATATATATATATATATATATATCAAGGGGCGAATTAAGTGATCATGAATTGAAAATTCCGAAAAAAATTCTTGTCTTTAAATTTTTAGTTTCCTAAAAAATCGTGAACTCAGTTTTTATGGATCTTAAAAATCAACTAAAACTAATTTTATTAAGAGTCTCGTAACTAAGTTATGAGAGTCTTTATGAAATTAGTTATAATTGATTTTTAAGATCCATAAAAATTTTAAAAAGAGTTTACAGTTATTTTAGGAAACTAAAAATTTAAAGACCAGAATTTTTTTCGGAATTTTCAATTCATGATCACTTAATTCGCCCCTTGATATATATATATATATATATATATATGTATATATATATATATATATATATAAATATATATATATATATATATATATATTTATATATATATATGTATATATATATATATATATATATATATATATATATATATATATATATATATATATATATATATATATATATATATATATATATATGTCTGTGTGTATATATCATTGAGTTTATGTGTATATATCATAGAGTTTCTGTGTGTATATATCATAGAGTTTCTGTGTGTATATATCATAGAGTTTCTGTGTGTATATATCATAGATCTATGATATATACACACAGACATATATATATATATATATATATATATATATATATATATATATATATATATATATATATATATATATATATATATATATATATATATATATATATATATAAATATATATGTCTGTGTGTATATATCATAGAGTTTCAAAATGAAAACGTTGCGAAGTTTTACTGTAGTGTCTATTATGCAGAACAGTTTAGACAACTTCGAGAGTTAATATTTCCGGAAAAAGAAGAAAGGTAAACAAAACATGATACTTTTTGGAATACATCTTTTACAGTAACTTTTATATTATAGTGAGTGATATTATGAGACAAATGGTAATTATGAAGATGTTGTATTATGATATTTTATAGATACATTCAATCTTTGGCAAGATGTAAATTTTGGAAAGCAACTGGAGGAAAATCTGGTTCTTCATTTTCTAAATCTCTAGGTAGGTTTTTTATATAATAAATTTAATAACGGCTTTTAAGAAGCATTTTGTTACTTGATTATTTCTTTTAATTTCTCATATGTTTTTGTCAACTATATATCTAAACATTTTATATGAAATAATAACAACTTTTATAATCTTTTAAAACAGTATTTTTTGCAGCACTTGTATGTAGTATTCTGCAGCACTTGTATGTAGTTTTCTGCAGCACTTGTATGTAGTTTTCTGCAGCACTTTTATGTAGTATTCTAAACTAAAAAATAAAAAATTACTAAAAAATTTTTCAGTCTAATTCACTGCACTGATTTCAATCTGACCAGTGCAGTGGTTAGTTTCTGTCTGAACGGTACAGTGGTAGCGCACTTCCTTAAGGAAGAGGTATGGAATTTGAAACCCATTACATTGCCAAAAATACCTTCATCAATGTTTGTATTTTAAAGTTAAAAATTGTGAGTTTTATTACGGCATCATGATGCAAGGTTTATTTAGGCAACAATTTTTTCTTGAAATGAAAAAAATTTGATTATCTTATCTGTTGTTTTTTTTAAAACACTGTGTTGTATATAAAGTTATGTTTCTAGTTATAGTTGCATGTGTGGCAAATTATGCAAAAAAAGATATAATTATGCAAATTGTGAAAAAAAAGAAGGCTTAATATTTATGAGTTACTAATTTTTATAGAAAAAGAAAATTTATGTTCATCAATTGACAATAGGAACACTTGCAGGGAAGTATACATGCATCAACTGATGAACTTGAGTTCGTTTGAGCGCAGTTGGGATTATCATTGTTTGGAATAGGGTTATACTTTTTTTCATGATAAGACAAATGCTTTTTTCTATCAAATCTTGGTTGAGCTAATGTATCTACTTTTGGTTAAACAAATACATCTACTCTGAGTTAAGCTAATGTATCTACTCTTGGTTAAGCTAATGTATCTACTTTTAGTAAAGCTTATGTATAAACAAACGTATTTACTGGTGATAATGCAGAAATATTGTTTATCAGAGTTTATCAGTTGTTTTTTGAAAATACATTTGTTTTTTGAAAATACATTTGTAAACTTACTTATACTTTAACTATTTTAAAAATACTTTTTGCATTTGTAAAATACTTTTTTTTTTAATGATTATTCACATATCAAGTAATCATTTTATGTTTTCAGGTTATTAAATTAAAATATAATAAACATTTTTATTTATTTGCACACAACAGCGATCTTGAATAAATGCTTCAATATTTTGTGCATCATTACTTGATCTACTATTGTATGAGTATTTAATAGTCCTTGAAATCTAATTGGTGGTGATAATGCTGTATTATGTTGATTTTTAGACTATTTATATTGTACTATAATAAATGATATGGGTTAATAACTTTTAAATTTAAGTTAAAACAAGTAGATAAAAAACACCAGTGTTGTGACCTAAATACTCAGAAATAAAAAAAAAATTACTTTAAAAATTTTTTTTGTTTTAGATGATCGATTTGTGATGAAACAGATGTCTCGCCTAGAAATACAATCATTTGTAGATTTTGCTCCTCGATATTTTGCTTATATTAACAAAGCTGTTAAAGAAAAAGTAATAAATTTTAATGTTTTTGAAAGTAATTTTATAAATTGTAATATTTTCAATAGTGGTCAAATATCTTATTGTTTTATTTTTATGTTATAGTTTTTTATATCAAATTTGAAGTGAATTGTATCTTGCAATTTGAAGTGAATTGTATCTTGCAACTTTTTGATAAAAATCTCAAAAAATCATTTTTAATGACAAAAAAAATCGTCTAAAAAGTTTAAAAAAAAAAAAAAACAATAAAATTTAATTTTACTTGATTGAATTAATTTATAGTTTACTTTGAATTTATTTTAGCGGTTGTTTTTTTTCTTTGCTTCATTTTTTTCATATTTTTTGCTATATATATATATATATATATATATATATATATATATATATATATATATATATATATATATATATATATATATATATATATATATATATATATATATATATATATATGCATTCAACCTACGCAAATTATTTTCAGAGACCAACAGCTATGGCGAAGTTACTTGGTGTATATAGAATTGGGTTCAACAATCCAGTTACCAACACAGCAATGAGACAGGATGTGCTTGTCATGGAAAATTTATTTTATGAGAAAAAAGTAAATAAGGTAAAATGCTTTTTATCACTTGATTGATTTTAAAATGAGGATAAAATTAAATTTTAACTTTCTAGAGTGGCCCCTTAATTAAATGAGGGTTAAAATGAGGGTAAAATTAAAATTTTAACTTTCTAAAGTGGCCTGCTAAATAAATGAGGGTTAAAATAAGGGCAAAATTAAAGTTAACTTTTGTAATTCCTTTTTTAAATAGCAGTATTCACTTTCTTTTTCATGAGATATTTTAAGCATTTCTTGAAATTATCTTGAAAAAATTTTTTTTTTGTATTAACTAAGTTTCTCATATTCTACCTCTTGAGCTGTTTAAATAACATAGAATAACATTGTTTTCCGTTTGACAATCAACTTGAGCTGCTAGAGTTTCATTTCAGGTATCATCAAGCCATGTAGACGTAAATAAAACTATAGTTTATCTTTGTACCTTATATCATAATCCATTTTGGTTTATGTATGTTTATGTGTGTATATATGTGTTTATATTTGTTTCGATAGTTGTTGGCTTTGTTTAAGTTTTTTGTTTATTGTTTACTCAAGCATTAAAAGCTACGACTTGATTTATTTCCCCAATAAACTCAACCCAGTGAGTACTAATATGGTTGAAGTAAACGCCATTCAAATTCAATGATAATAAAATGGAGATAGTAATAATTAAAATACAAGTAGGAATAACAAAAATTCAATGATAATAAAATGGAGATAGTAATAATTAAAATACAAGTAGGAATAACAAAATTCAATGATAATAAAATGGAGATAATAATAATTAAAATACAAGTAGGAATAACAAAAATTCAATGATAATAAAATGGAGATAATGATAATTAAAATACAAGTAGGAATAACAAAAATTCAATGATAATAAAATGGAGATAATAATTAAAATACAAGTAGGAATAACAAAAATTCAATGATAATAAAATGGAGATAGTAATAATTAAAATACAAGTAGGAATAACAAAATTCAATGATAATAAAATGGAGATAATAATAATTAAAATACAAGTAGGAATAACAAAAATTCAATGATAATAAAATGGAGATAATGATAATTAAAATACAAGTAGGAATAACAAAAATTCAATGATAATAAAATGGAGATAATAATTAAAATACAAGTAGGAATAACAAAAATTCAATGATAATAAAATGGAGATAGTAATAATTAAAATACAAGTAGGAATAACAAAATTCAATGATAATAAAATGGAGATAATAATAATTAAAATACAAGTAGGAATAACAAAAATTCAATGATAATAAAATGGAGATAATGATAATTAAAATACAAGTAGGAATAACAAAAATTCAATGATAATAAAATGGAGATAATAATTAAAATACAAGTAGGAATAACAAAAATTCAATGATAATAAAATGGAGATAATGATAATTAAAATACAAGTAGGAATAACAAAAATTCAATGATAATAAAATGGAGATAGTAATAATTAAAATACAAGTAGGAATAACAAAAATTCAATGATAATAAAATGGAGATAATAATTAAAATACAAGTAGGAATAACAAAAATTCAATGATAATAAAATAGAGATAATAATTAAAATACAAGTAGGAATAACAAAAATTCAATGATAATAAAATGGAGATAATAATTAAAATACAAGTAGGAATAACAAAAATTCAATGATAATAAAATGGAGATAGTAATAATTAAAATACAAGTAGGAATAACAAAAATTCAATGATAATAAAATGGAGATAATAATTAAAATACAAGTAGGAATAACAAAAATTCAATGATAATAAAATGGAGATAATGATAATTAAAATACAAGTAGGAATAACAAAAATTCAATGATAATAAAATGGAGATAATAATTAAAATACAAGTAGGAATAACAAAAATTCAATGATAATAAAATGGAGATAGTAATAATTAAAATACAAGTAGGAATAACAAAAATTCAATGATAATAAAATGGAGATAATAATTAAAATACAAGTAGGAATAACAAAAATTCAATGATAATAAAATGGAGATAATGATAATTAAAATACAAGTAGGAATAACAAAAATTCAATGATAATAAAATGGAGATAATAATTAAAATACAAGTAGGAATAACAAAAATTCAATGATAATAAAATGGAGATAATGATAATTAAAATACAAGTAGGAATAACAAAAATTCAATGATAATAAAATGGAGATAATAATTAAAATACAAGTAGGAATAACAAAAATTCAATGATAATAAAATGGAGATAATGATAATTAAAATACAAGTAGGAATAACAAAAATTCAATGATAATAAAATGAAGATAATAATTAAAATACAAGTAGGAATAACAAAAATTCAATGATAATAAAATGGAGATAATAATTAAAATACAAATAGGAATAACAAAAATAACAAAAACAGCGATTATAATGATTAAAAATAATAGTAGAGTTTATAAAAAAATTAATAAAAATAATAATAATAACAATAATAATAATAATAATAGTAATAATAATAATAATAATAATAACATATTTCAGTTTAAGAAAGATTAAAATAATAAATTTAATAAAAGATTTATCACAACAGGGAGAAAAAAAAAAAGGGAGTATAAATTTTGAGAATGATTTAAAAGATTTTAGTTGGAAAGGGAGATTGTTCCAGGTTTGTATGCTTTTATGTTGTATGGATTCATAGCCGTTGTGAACACTATATTTATGTACAGATGACATAGAGTTGTTATTAGTATTATGTAAAAGTAGGTTATTATGATTTTAGTTCCAAACAAATAGGCAATTTGATAGCTGAAAAAACAATAATTGTATTGATAGGTTGTTGCTAAACCTAATGCCTAATAATGTCTCTTTTGATGTTATTGTACCTATTAGTTTTGTAATACAATCCTTTGTTATGTTTGGAGAAATCGGTTCAAGACCGATTTCTCCAAAAAAATTTTTTTTTTTTTTGATACTTATTTTAATTTTGCCACTTGAATAATTTTTTAGTTCTGGTCCGTATTTTATTATGTTTTATATTTTATTACATTATTTAATAGTATACGATAGTGTAAAATAATGTAATAATTTTATAAGGTTTGATTAATATTTTAGATTTTTGATTTAAAAGGCTCTGTGCGAGGTAGATATGTGCAGACATCGGCAAAAGAAGATGTGTTGATGGATGAAAACCTTTTAGAAAGTAATCATAACATTTTTTTGTTGCTATAGGTAGCAATTTTACCTTGATAACTTGGCGCGTTTCTTAACTTATGCTTGGTAGGGTTTGCGACGAAAATATTTGCCCAATCCAGAACCGGGTGTTTTCTATTCGAATGTTTTGGTTTTTACTTTAAATTTTATTGTCTTTAAAATTAATATTTTGATAGTTAAAAATATCGTGCAGACTTTGTATTGGCAATCCTTAGCTCTATTGAAACGAATTGTCGTATTTAATTGTCATTTTAATTTTTATCTATAGTTAATTTATTTTATTTTTCTCCCAGTGATCAGCGAATCACCTTTGTTTATTCGGCCTCATAGTAAAGCAGTTTTATCAAAGGCTATTTACAATGACACTGAGTTTCTTTCATCGAATATGGTAATGGATTACTCGTTATTAGTTGGAATAGATCAGACCAATTGCAAACTAGTCGTGGGCATTATAGGTAAGTTCATTGTTTGTGTTTGCTTGTGTTTTTGATCTTTTTCGTTTCTGTTACTTAGTATAAATCTTCTGTTAATAGATTATATCCGCACTTACACGTGGGATAAAAGACTTGAGACCTGGGTAAAATCAACTGGTATTCTTGGAGGACAAGGCAAAATGCCGACTGTGGTTTCGCCTGAAGTTTATCGCACTCGTTTTACAGAAGCAATGCAACGGTACTTTCTCATGGTGCCAGATAAGTGGACTGGATTCGGTGCTGACCTAAATTAAGACTTGTTTAAGACTTTTTTATAAAATGCTCGTTTTCTTATCTAGGTTATTTATAAGGGGTTTTTTTTTGGAGAGTGAATCACGTGTTCATTCGCATTGAAAAACTTTCGTCTGATTTTGACTGCGTTTGTTTTGCTTTTCTCTCAGTCTTTTCAAGTACTAAATTACATAATAATACAATACATACAACGTTATTTTTATAAAAATATTTTTTATTAAGTTACATATAAAAATTACTATAGCTTTTTTAAAAAAGTTTTTTACGATTTATTTATTTTATTTTTTTTTGTCTTCAGTTCATAATATTTTGTTAATTTTTAAATCAAGAAAAAACTAAAAGCTCTTTAATTATTTCTAATTATTCTTTAATTACTATGCTTCTAATTATTTCTATTTAAGTTTATTTTAATTATTTCTAATTATTCTTTATTTACTATGTTTCTAATTATTTCTATTTAAATTTATTTTAGACAATTTTCATAACTACATCGTAAAATGTTATTTAATATTTTAACGGTAGTTCAAAAATTTAGTACTTTTTTCCATAAGCTTTTTGAGTTTTTTAAATTTTCTTTTTACATTGAGGACAATAACAAAGAAAATAAAATATAACGCATTCAAAGTATCACAAAATAATATTTGACTTGTTTTTTGAACGAAAAAACTTATTATTCAGTTTAGTTGTTTTTATAACAGTCTTTGTTTTTTTTGTAAAGATTGTACATAAATTAGATAAATAAAAAAAAGTTTTTAATTATAAAAATGTTGAGTTAAATTTTTTAATTTTGAAAACAAACGAAATACAAAACTTGGTTTACGCTTTTAGTGGTTTTCATTTGAATAAGAGAGCATTTCTAAATTCAGAATTAAATAGAGTTAATGGAAACTTAATAAATCTAAAGTTTTAAAAATATAATTACTTGTGTTTCTAAATACTTAGAAAAGTTCGTAGAATCCCTTATATATATATATATATATATATATATATATATATATATATATATATATATATATATATATATATATATATATATATATATATATATTTGTTTTCTTACTTTTATTTTACTAAATATTTAAAATAGTTTCTATCATTATCTATTCAAAGTTGCAAGCCATTTGTCAAAGTGTTTTTATATTCTTCTTTGGGTATACGTTAAAGTAGTTTGGTCATGTGGGTTTTTTGTAGAAATGCAACGAATATTCGGCAACTTTTGATATTTGGTTTATTCGATATTTGGTGTATTCGCCAACATTTTATACTATTTGGCCGATATTGCAAACTATTCAGCCGAATACTGAAACAAGAAAAAAATCTTATTAGAAATAGATTATATTACTATAATAATACAATAAATAGATTAATCAAATAATAAATACATTATATATATAAGATTCTATTCATCAAACAAAAAAAATTTTTTAAAACAAGTTTAATACTTGAAATTTACCAGTGTTAAATTATGATGAATGAAAACAATTATTTCGGCATTTGTTGATACCAAACGATTCCGCTTTTCCTCGTAAATTATAACTGCTTCCGAAAATAGCCGCTCATCATATACACTACTGCCTGGATATGATAAGTAAATCTTAGCGAATTCTGTTAGGCTTGGATATTGTTTTGCATTAGCTGACCACCACTTGTAAGGGTCTGCTTTCGATCTAGGTGTACAGTTTTCATGAATAAATATATTTGGTTTTCTGTTGAACTTTTCTGTTCGACATGAAAATGGTAAAACAATCTCAATTGTTTTACCATTTTCATTGACATTTTTTTTCTTCCGAAGTGGAGATGAGTCATGATCGGTGCTACTAAACGTTTCAAAACTTTTTTTCAGAGCTTCAAAAGAGTTTTTCGTTTTGCTCTTTGTGTTTTTACTATATCCAAGAAATTAGTTTTAAAACGCGGCTCAAGAAAAGTTGCAATCGGTTATTTGGCATTTTCCTTAAAGTTGAACCGCGCTTTAAGTTCAGATTGAAGCAAAGATCTCACTGTTGATAAATTCGGTGATTTCTGTTCTTTTTCTTCCTTTCCCATGTATTTTAACAACGTGACAGCGTGTGGAATTACCTCAGAAATGCTTTTGTTGCCGTTTTGTCTCAAATAAAATCACAACTCATATCCATTATTAAACATATTTCGAAACTTTTCTTTTAAATATGTTTAATAAAATTGAGCAACATCTTTAATACGTAATAAAAAATTTTCAACAAGTACTTAAAACGTTCATAATTAATTTCAGTTCAAAGTGATATATAAATATTTAACTGTTTACTGTCTTATTGCAACTTTACAAATGAAGTTCTAAGAATTTTTCTAACAATCTAAGTATATAGAAATTGTAAAGTTTTGATTTAGTCTGCAAACTAAGCCACCTCCTACCGCTAGCTAAGCCACCTTTACCAAAAAAGCATTTCGTCGCGTTGGTTTGACAAGGTTCTAACTGATCCGCGAGTAGTTTTGAGCAAATCAATGTTAAAAATTGTTATGTTCCTCCCATCAAAATTTATTGAAATTCATCGATAATATTTTTTACTCATGATAACATAAGCATTTGCTATAAGTATTACTATTTTTTATTAAAAAATGTTTCGCTCTTTATAGAAAAATGAATACCCCCAAAACGCAGTTAGAACCTTGTCATAGTGAAATAATCATATTCTCACTATGACAAGGTTCTAACTGCTGTTATAACGGTAGTTAGAAACATGTTAGTTACTTTGAAACTTTGTGACTGAAGCTGTTAGTTACTTTAAATTTTGTAACTGAAACAATAATATAATAAAAAGCTAATTTTCATAAATTAGATTATTGTTTCACAAAACAAGGTTACCACATTTTTTTATTCATTTTTTATTTTTTTTATACTTCATTTTTTTGGTACATTTTAAAACCATTACATTAAGTACAGGGTTAAAACCCTTAAAAATTTTTCATGTTTATTTTATAGGTGAAGAACAACTCGATAGTATTTTCTGTCCTCGAGAGGCATAAACGGAAATGCAGCTTTAATATCTTTTTTTTTAAGTCTGCAAGTTCCTTTGTACAATTTTGAATCTTTGGTTTTACATTCAAAATAGTGGAAGTTGATGGACTTGTAGCTGCATTCTTTCTGTTAGGTTTTTCATTGAACTTGACATTTGCACAGTTCATAGGTTCATTGCGATCATGGCTAGATTTGAAATGTATAATATGAGGTGTTTGAGTAAATTTTAGAACAGCAATGTTAGAAAAAGGAACTGACTTGTAATTAAACAGTTTCGCTGTTACTGCATAATCCTTGAAGTCATGTGATTTCATTTGAATGATACGATAAGGATTTTTTCTGTTAGCTTGTTTCAACATCTTTATCAATCCAATTGGACTATAAAAATCAGTTTTCCTCATGAGCTTTTCGATTTCGCTATGAGCATGATCCACCTCTTGGACGCATGAATGACCTGGAACGGAATATTTCATAGTGATTGAGTTGATGTTAGGATTGTCTCTTAAAAAGTGTAACACAGCATTTGATAATATACTGTTCCGATTTTGAGAAACGCAGGAGTCAGACCAAGTAATTAAATCACTGAAGTCGTTTTCCTCTGCCACATCACTCAAAATTTTGCAAAAGGCACTGGCAAGATCATTGCCGCTTCTTCCAGCCATTGATTCAGTCCATAATGCACAATACACTTTTTTGGTTGTTGAAAAATAAGCTGTCATATTATACACGCTAAGCTTTCTCAGATAAAAAAGGGAACTAATTTCTGCATGCGAAGTCAAAATAACATTTTGAAGGTCAAAAAGTAAAACAGGACAATTTTTATCCTTTTTCTCTTCAGAACGTATATCTCTCATTTCTTTTTTAAAAACTTGATGTCTTTCAAAGTCTTCTCTCAATTTTTCAGACATAGTATCAGTGTTTTCAGCAATTTTAAACTTCTCACAAAGGTCACATCTATCCTTTTTGGGAATGTGAAAACTAAGATTGAATTTGGTGGAGAAAATATGGTAGTACAAAGATTTTTTTATTGGCTCAATATTTTCGTTTATACATTTCTTTTTGTAAAGATTATACATTTTTGAAACATTAAGGTGTGACTCAAGGTATTCTCTATTGGTACTTACAGGACAATAATGTGACTCAACTTTGGAAAAGATTTTATGTGATCCCCAGCTGAGTTGGCATCACAATGCGGTGTACGTTTGCCTTTCATGATTTTACCTTGTAGATCTTGTGCAGGAGTATTTGTTTTAATATCTTTGGTGTTGTGAGCTGTGTAAATTGACTTTTGTGAAATGGACAGTGTAGTTAAGTAGAATGTTTTGCAAACACGGACTTTTTCACCTTTTACATGAAAAAAATATCTATAGGAGTACTTCATTTTTGAAAAAACTTGTTTTTCAGCGTGGTCATCAGTTTCTTTATTTGCAGTATCACTATCATTGTTTTCCTCGTGGTTTCTTTTTGGTCTAGCAGTGGTTGTGCGATCAGTCGAAGTAACAAAGAAATGCCTCTTTTCAGTAGCTGAATTTAAGACATAAAATGATGAAAAAATATCGATTCGCTCATCTTCTGATATTTTCTTAGCACATTCGTACTTACAGTTTGCCAGACAGTTTTTTTTTGTTTGAATAATCTTATTTGGTACTTGTTTTCCTCTTCGACTTGTATAATTTTTACCAGCTTGATATGCCTTTTTTTTTTATTACATCCCCAGGTTTCAGGTATAGATATTCGTTTTCGGAATTTTTTCTTAAACGTTTGTTGAACTTGATCCCTAGAAGAGTATTATTACTTAGTCGATAATAGTATCTCTAGTATATAATCATATACTAATTAAATCGTTTTTAAATGATTAAAATGGTTCACTTTGTATATAATAGTAGATTTTAATGTCGAAATCACTTTTTAGATGAAATTTTTATTAAAAAAACAAATCATAAATAAAAAAAATATATATTTAAGATTTAGAGGGTGATCGAGGGGGAACACTACATATTTGGCTTACTTGTTTGTCACTAATTCAGCATCATTCGTAGGTTGTACATTCATGTCTATCTCAGAAATTTTTTCAGTTTGTGCTACATAAACATTATTGGCATTGTTTCCAGAAGCTTCTTCAACAATATTTTGTTTAGAATCTTGTGCAGTTCTGGAACATTCTAGTGCAGTTCTGGAACATTCTAGTGCAGTTCTGGAACATTCTAGTGCAGTTCTGGTTAAATTAAAGCGCCTCTTCTTCCTGTTTAAATAT